TATTCTGCCTACAGAAGGTGAAGGGAGAAGGTCTTTTCCATAAGTGGTGCTGGGTTGATTCTGTACTCACAGGGGAAAAATCATTCTTGATCCCTGCCTCGCAACACACAAAACAAAGAAACACCGTTCAAATCACCACAAGCCTAAGTATGAAAGAGAACAACTGGGGCTTCCCTGGTGGTCTAGGGGCTAAGGATTCCCCTGGCAATGCAGGAAACACTGGTTTCATCCCTGGTCCAGGAAGATCCCACATGCCGCAGGGCCACAACTGCTGAGCCAAGAGTAGCAACTCCTGAAGCCCAAGAGCCCATGCTCTTCACCCAGAAGCCACTGCAAGCAGAAGCCTGTACACCGTAACTAGGGAGCAGGCCCCGTTCTCCACACCTAGAGAAAGCCCAAACACCACAAAGACCCAGCACAGCCAAAAATAAATATTTTTCCTAAAGAAAAAAAAGAACAATTAAGTTTCTAGAATAAAACATGAGAATATCTTGAGGACCTTTGGGTAGCAAAGATTTCTTCAATCACAAAAAGCAGTTACCAAAAGAAATCAATATTAAAACATTAAAATCAAGAACTTTTCTTCATCAAAAGACACCATTTAGGAGTTGAAAAGGTAATCCTGAATGAGAGAAAATGTTTGAAATACATATAACCTAAGGGCCCATATCTAGAATATACAAAGAACTCTCACAAGCCAGAATGAAAAAGGCGGATGACCAATGGGGAAATGGACAAGAAACCAGCCTTACGCAGGCACTCCATCAAAGAAGAGGTCCAAATGCTCAGATGTTTATGAAAAAGTGCCTCAAAATTCTTAGTCATGGAAGGAAACGAAGCCATGCTGTGCCCCCACCTTCAAGAGTGATTACCGTCACAGTAACTGGAACTCTGGGGACCTCTGCTCCTGCTCCGCTGGTGGCCAGGTAAGCTGGTAGGGACATTCTGGAAACCAACTGTCGGTACTTAGTAATGCTGAACTTAAGCACAGCCTCTGACCAGCAGTTCTTCTATCAAAGGCATTAAGTGCATGCAGCAAAGCCACGTGTGAGAATATTAATGGCGTCATTTGTTAGAGTGGCCGAAAATGGAGAATCCATCGACCACAGCGCTGATAAATCAACTGTATGTTCATGTGAGTGGGCTTCCCTGGTGGCTCAGGTGGTAAAGAATCCACCTGCAGTGCAGGAGCCCCAGTTCCATCCCGGGGTCGGGAAGATCCCCAGAGAAGGAAATGGCAACCCACTGCAGTGTTCTTGCCTGGAGAATCCCGTGGACAGAGGAGCCTGGCGGGCTACAGTCCACGGGTTGCAAAGAGTCAGACACGACTGAGCGACTAAGCAGGCATATTCATATAATAGAACACTGCATAACAATGAAAAACAGCAAACTAACATTACCCATTACTTTGTTATGCTGATGAATTCCATAGACAAAATGCTAAGTGAAAGCAGCTAGATTTTTTTTTAAGTATTAACAGATACACTAGTTGATTCCACTTATATAAAGTAAAAGAACAGGCAAAAGTGATTTTTTTATAATGTAGGGCTTTTTTGTTCTTGTTGGTTTTGGCTGGGTCTTCATTGCCACACGAGGGCTTTTCTCTGGTTGCGGTGCTCAGGGCCTTTGCTTTGGAGTGGCTTCCCGCCGCAGAGCACAGGCTCTAGGGCTCCCAGGTCCAGCAGCTGTAGCACTGGGGCTTCACTAGTTGAAGCTGGCAGGCTCTAGAACTTGGGCTCAGCAGTTGTGGTGCAAGGGCTAAGCTGCCCCATGGCACATGGAATCTTCCCACACCAGGGATTGAACCTGTGTCCTCTGCACTGGCAGGCCAATCCTTAACCACTGGACCACCAGGGAAGTTTGCTGCAGTGATTTTTGGGATAGAAGTTATAACGGAGGTTATTTCTGAGAATGGGTGATGTCGGAGCAGGCATGGGGAGGTGTCTTCAGGGCTAGCGGCCTTCTGCCTTGATTGGCGTGGGGGCCAAAGGGGTGTGTGCATGATGGAAGATGCTTCGGACTGCACACTTGGGACTTGGACACTTCACTACACACACACTGAGGTAAAATTAATTTTTAAATTAAAGCGTTTAAAGATTTGTAAAAAGGTTTTCCAGCGAACCCAGGGCTTTGCTATGAAGAGGGGAGGACAGGGTCGGTGTCGCTGTCGGGAACCAGTAGGTGCAACCGTGGCCCCACGGACTCTACCCTTGGGTCTCAGGACTCAAACACATGTCCCTCCCATATCCAGCCCAGAGCCACCATCCCGCCTGAGCAGAGGGCTCCCTGCTTGTGCCTGGCTGCCTGCTGGAGGAAGGCACACCTGGGCCCTCTCCCCAAAGGCCGTGCCCTCCGGCCTTCCCCTCCTCCCCAGCTCGAGCTCCCTCAAGCCTTATATAAAGCCCGTCTTGCACACACCGTGACGCCCCGGTCCCTCTCTCCCTTCATCACACCTCTGGGCAAAACTGCAACCTGGTCCAATCCAGTTCTGCCCGCCTTCACCTGGGCGTGGCCAGAGAACAGCACACAGTCCCGCCAGTCCTCTTCCGGTATCCTGACCCCTAGCCTGATTCCCTAAGCTGATCTCCAGTCCGAACCTCTAATCCGATCCCTAACCTCCCGTGATCTCTAACCTGACTCCTTAACCCGATTCCTAACCCGACCCTCCGACCTCCCTAAGTGGAGCAGTGTGCTTCCCGGACGTCCCACCTTGTTTCCTTCAACTCTGTCATTTGTGTAAGGTTGTGTAAATTTACACAAATGACACTTGTGTAAATGTGCAGCGGCTATAGAAGTTTATGTACAGAGTGTGGGGCGCACAGAGAACAGGAAAAAGGGAGCTCCCCCCCAAAAGAGAAAAAAGCAGAAAGAGCTCATGATTTTAAAACTCGCCGTACCACGCTTCTGCATTCTTGGACTGCAGCGTAAAGAGAGGCGGGGCAGGAAGGCAGCCTTCATCTGGCATTAAGGGTGTTCCCAGCGGCCACCAGGATGCCAGGTTTCTGTCAGTGTGTACTTGTTTTTATAGACCTGACCTGAAATGGCTACAGGGAGGATACGTTCTTCCTATAGTAATCAGGAAACCCAATAAAGCTACTGATAGTTGAAAAATGAGTTTCTCTAACACTCTGCCCTAACCAGTTTGCAGACAGCATCAGAGATGGTGCCCAGAGGCCCCAGACATGGCGCCCCCACCCCTCTATGACGACCCTCGCTTCGGTTTTCTCCCTTCCACTCCACCTGGCTGGGCCAAGGGTATCATCCCAAGTGCAGGGGAGCTGCGTTGCTGTTCCAAGTCCTGCAAACTGACTCTCGTGCCCACTGGCTGGTCGCTGCCTCCTGCTCTGCCCGGTCTCAGGCCAGCTGGAACCCTGAGGCATCACCAAGGAGCAGCTCTGCCTCTCACCAGACGGGGGACAGCTTTGGGGCAGAGCCCTCGGGCTCAGGGCCAATATCAGTTCCTAGGACTAAGACAAGCCATACTCCTCCTTTGGGGCCTTAAAAGGCCAGTCCCATCCAACTCTGAGGGCCTGCTGGCCCTGGCTCGGGCCTAGCCCTCGGTTGGCGGGTAGCGGGTAGGACTATACTTTCTTGTGACCCCCTTCTCCTCTCCCCATCCTGAGGTACAGATAGGAACCCGGCTTTATGGATTGTTGGCAAGCGGTTGAGGGGTCGGGGTGGGGCCTGGGTTTCAAGTATCTGTGAGCTTAGATTAACCCTGTATTTTAAAGCCATAGCACTCAGCGCCCAGGGCCAATACAGGCACTTCATGACATCTTCAAAGTGCCCTGCACGGACAAGCGTCACCTTCTCCCACCTGAGGTGGGGACTGAGGCCAATGTGGCCCAGCACCTGGCAGTTCTGGTGAGCTATTTCCTCCTGAAAGCGAGGGCTGAGTGTTGGGGGAGCCTCCTGGGAAGACTGCCATTCCAGCAGCTGCTGAAGACTGGGGCGCCAGCTTCGGTCAGGAGTTCCACACTCCCGCACCGCAGAGAACAGGTGCGCACTGTTGCAAGGTTCGGGACCTCGCCAAGTGGTGCCCTGGGGTTGCCTCTGCGAACAAGACAGGCAGGCAGAGGGGGCGAGCACTGAAAAGGTCTTCCAGGAGGAGGACCTGAGAGGGGCAGAGGCTGGGGCTGGGGTGGGGAGCAGGGTGGGACCTCCCGGGGAAGGGCTGCGGTGCAGGCCAGTGGGAGTGACCTGCTGGGGAGGCCACCCCTGGGCCCCGGGAGCCGCTGACCCCACGGCCCCCAGCTTGCTTTCCTTGCATCACCTCATCAACCCCCCGACGACCAGCTGTGGGGAGGGGGAGGCGGGGCACAAATGTCAAGGATGCGCAGTCTCTGCCGCCCGGGAGCAGGCGCGTGAGCGGCCAGCGGGGAGGACCCGCGAACCAGGGGCGCCGCCCCGAAGCCGGGGCCCTCGGTGTGGCGTGCGACAGCCCGGACTGGGCCGAGCCCGAGCGGGGCGCTCAGCCGGACAGGCCAAGCCGGGAGTAGCTACGCGACGCGGCGGAGTCCTCTCCGGTCGCACGGCCACCTCACCCCCACGCTGCCGCCGCAGACGCAGAAGAACTCAGCGCGCGCGCGCCGCGATCAACCAGCGCGCGAGGCCGAGCGGCCAACCCAGAATGCAGCGCGCCGCAGGGGCAGCCGGCCGCGGGGCACGCCGGGACCGGCAGTCGGCGGCCGGCCGCGGGGCACGCCGGGACCGGCAGTCCGCGGCCGCGCGGGCCCGCCCCTCAGCTGGCCTGCGCCGTGCGCCCGAGGGGCCCAATGGGAGCGGCGACCCGGCCGCCCCGCCCCGCGCCGCCGGACGTCGATGCCGGGACATGGCTGTTGCCGGCGCCGGGTCCTTGAGCTGAGCGCCCGCCGCCAGCCACCAACCGCCGCCCTCAACCGTCCGCAGGCGGGCCGAGGCGCCGCTGGCCGGCGAGGAGCCGCCGCCGCTACCGCAGCAGGAGGAGGCCGGGTGGCCGGCGCGCCGGGCACGCCGGGCACATGGCGTCCATCTTACTGAGGAGTTGTCGCGGCCGCGGGCCCGCTCGCCTCCCGCCGCCCCGCGCCGTCGCGCCGAGGGGTAAGGGGCCGGCGATCGACAGACGGCGCGGGGCCGGGGCCGGGGGCCGGGATGGGCGGGCCGCGGGACCGGCCGCCCCCTCAGACGGGGCGGGTCGCGGCTCTCGGACCCAGCCCAGAGCCGGGGTCCCGCCTGGGGGGACCTTGCGCGGCCTCGCCCGTCCGCCCTGCCCCGGCCGGCCGTTTGCCCCGGGGGTGGGGAGCGCCCGGGCCGTGGGTGCGGGCGGGAGCGGGCCCGTGACTCACTCGCGCCGTGACCTTAATCGCTCGGCCACCGGCCGCTGCGTCCGGAAAGTTTTGAAGAGAGCACGCTGCCAGCCAGCCTGGGGCGGTGTCGGCGCTCCCCGCTCGTGGTCGAGCCCAGCGGACCTGGCGCCCACTCGCGAAGACAGTCTTGCCTTCGGGCCGCGTTCGGGGCTGCAGAGATGGCGGGGGGGCACGGCGGGCACTTGTACCCGTCCTGTGGGACGTCCGTGGGACCGATACCCTTATGGCGTTCCACATGGGCGTCGTGCAGGGTCCCAGGGCCTTTCTCTATGGCCTCAGGCAGGTCTCGTTGTCCCTGGAGCCTCACAGACGCTAGCTGGGACCCAGAGACCGCACCTGAGGCCGGGCTCTCGGGAGCCCACATGGAGGGCGCCTGCACTGACCAGCTCTCCGTGTTTCTTTTTATATATCCTTTCTCAGTTTGTTGCTTATTATTTTGTCCAGTGAGATTGAGATTCTCAAGTAAAATTATCTGTTTCAAGGTATTTACCCTTTGTAAAGGCACCCTAGAAAACATGGTTCTTGTCGTTTTTGACATTGATGGCTGATCAGCTGCTTAGACCTTTGGAGCCAGGAGGGTGTGGAGCCTCAGCGAGCACTCCTCTGTGAACCCACAGTCTGGCTGCCCAGTCCAGCCTGTAGTCGTCTCTTCTGTTCTCAGAGCGCTCTCTCTCTCTCTCTCTCTCTCTCTCTCTCTCTCTCTCTCTCTCTCTCTCTCCCCCTCCCCTTTCTTGCTTCTTAAGGATGGTGGTAAAGATACTTTGGCCACGCACATTTCTGTAGCATGTTTACAGTTTAGAAGTTAGCTGAATTTGTTTTGTGCTTGAATCATTGCGGGAACACAGGTGTTTCCCATAGTAACTAAGACATGAAGGGACTGAGAGGTGGTCAGGACCCAGGGCTGGACTGTAGGGAGCCAGTCCCAGAACCCTTGAAATGATGCTGCCAGCTGAGCTGGGGGCAGCCTGTTTCTGGAGCACACTGCCTCCTTTATTAACATCTTACATCAGTTTGGGTCTTGTCATAATTAGTAAACGCACAGTATTACATAATGCATAAAGTATTAAGGTTTCCCTTATTCTGCACATAGTTTATTCTGATGTCCTTTATTTTTGTCCCAGGACCCCATCCAGGACACCCCATTACGTTTAGTCACAATTTCTTTTTGGTATCGTGACTGTAATGGTTCCTCAGACTTTCCTTGACAGTTTTGAGGAGGTCTGCTCAGGTATATTGTAGGACGTCACCTGTTGGGATTTGTCTGATGTTTTCCTCATGTTTAGACAGGTTCAGGGTTTTCGGGAGGAAGATCCCGGAGGTGAAGTGTGTCCTCATCCCTTCCATCTAGGGTGCCTCCTGCAGCAGGACTTACCATGGCCTGCTGACCTTGATCAGCCGGCTGAGGTGGTGTCTACTGTAGAGTCACTTCCTGTCCTTTTGCACACTGTGCTCTTTGGGAGGAAGTTGTGTGTGGCATGGACTTGGGAGTCGGCTGGGACTTGCAGAGGTGGGCTGACCTGATTTGCCAAGGACTGGGTGTGAGACAGAAGGCCTGGCCTCCCGCCATTATTGAAACAAGGGAGCGGGCTGGGAATCCAGGAGTTCTTGGAGCTGTTACATGTGAGGTGCCCGTCGGACCTGAAGACCTCATGTACCCATGTGTGTTCAGGTATGGAGTGCCTGGGGAGGATCCTGCTGGAGCTTAGCAGAGAGAACCCAGAGAACGTGGTTCCTGGAAGCCAGGTGAATAAAGGTGTGGGATAGGAAGAAATGAGTTTGGTTTCTTTTTCTCATCCTGGGTTCCTGGCAGAGCCCCCAAAACCCTAGGAATTTCTTGAATGATAAGCAGATCTTTTGGTATTCATAATGAGCCGCTTTCCCACATACCACAGTTTGCACTAGCTATGCACCTGTGATTAGAGGGTGGGACCTTCCAGACCCACGAGGAGGGGAGGGGTCTGGAGACAGAATTCAGTTGCCAGTGACCAAGGGTGTAATTGATAATCTCTAGGCCCTGAAGATAGGGACTGGGGATGGGAGGCCTGGGGAGCGTCAGGGCTGGGGGTGCCTGCCAGGCAGAGGGGACAAGAGCCGCTGTACCCGAGGACGCTCCCAGGTCTCACACTGTATCCCTTTCCATCTAGCTGTCTGTCTGTATCCTTTATGATAAACCACGGTGTTGGCTTGAGTACTTTCTTGGGTTCTGGGGGGCATTCTAGCAAATTATCAAAACTGAAGGGGTCATGGGAACTCCCGAATTTATAGTTGGCAGAAGTGTGGGTAGCCTGCAGACCCCACTTGCAACTGGCATTTGAAGTGGTGACAGTCTTGTGGGACCAAGCCCTTCACCTGTGGGTCCGCATGCCCTCTGGGGAGTAAGAGTAGAACTGAGTCGTAGGAGACCCAGTGGGGGTGAGAGGTGGAGGGTGGGTGTTGGGAAAGAAACCACAGAAGGGCCCTCAGGAGGACGGAGTGGCCCGGCAACCCCCTGCAGAGCCTGGAGCCCAGTCTGAGTTTACTGTGAAGGCTTCTGAGTGGGGAGAGCAGGGGAAGGGGCTGCCAGGGTCAGGAGGGGGCAGGCCAGGGGGTGCTGGGTGCTGTGGCAGCTGGTCTGGTTGTTGCAAGGTTGTGGGGAGGCTTCTGTTTGGGAGACAAGGTAGATGGGTCCACCTTGGCTGGAGTGACGGCTTGGGAACTAGAGTTAAAGAAAGTGTTAGAAGTATATCAGAATCCTAAAAATGTGCTGTGCGCTCATCAACATGGTATATCCAAGAAACAGTTTACTCTTGGTTTTGGTTTTCCTGGTCATTCTCATAACCCCCACCCTTCACATGGGCATGGGGGGTATTGGGTCATTTGGATGGGGCCCTTGCCATCTAGTCAAAGCTATGGTTATTCCAGTAGCCATGTATGGATGTGAGAGTTGAATTATAAAGAAAGCTGAGCACTGAAAGATTGATGCTTTTGAACCGTGGTGTTGGAGAAGACTCTTGAGAGTCCCTTGGACTGCAAGGAGATCCAACCAGTCTATCCTAAAGGAGATCAGTCCTGAATATTCACTGGAAGGACTGATGCTGAAGTTGAAACTCCAATACTTTGGCCACCTGATGCGAAGAGCTGACTCATTGGAAAAGACTTTGACGCTGGGAAAGATTGAAGGCGGGAGGAGAAGGGGACGACAGAGGATGAGATGGTTGGATGCCATCACTGGCTTGACGGACTTTGAGTAAACTCCGGGAGTTGGTGATGGACAGGGAAGCCTGGCATGCTGCAGTCCATGGTGTTGCAGAGTCAGACATGACTGAGCAACTGACCTGACCTTGCTTGCTCTGTGCAGCTGTCTGCCTGTTAGGGGTCATGTGTGCCCTGCCTCTTCAACCAGAGGCAGCTGGAGTGAGTCGGGGTGGTCCCACCTGGGGAGACCTGATGACCCCGGCTCCCTGGGCCCATGGCCACCAGAGTCTGGTCCCCAAGTTAGGGTGTGTTCAGCCAGGGATGCTACCAAGACACTACATTTCACCTGGGGCAGAGCCCTCACCACACAACACTCAGAGTGGGCTTCCAGAAACTTGCTCCACAGAAGGAAGAGATGCCTGCATAAAGCCACTGTTTGAAACTGACTTTGTTTTTTCTGTTTTCGTCACAGGTCCTGTTGGGGATCCGGCCTGCCTTAGTGGTGCCAGTGCTGTGGGGTTGATGAGCTACGTGTGAGTAAATGAATGTCACTTTCTGCCTGTTTAAACATGGGGGCTTGAAAGTGCTCAGGTGATGTGATTCTTGGCTTGGGGGTGGGTGGTATATCCTACTTTGTTCTTTTAAACCAGTATTTTTTCATCTTGACGTATGTAACCACATATTTTAGTGAATATTTGGAAAATAAACACTCATAATCCCAGGACCAGTTACAGGTATTATCAGCCTTTTTGGTGTATTATTCTGGTCATTTTTCTTTTTTTTTAATTAATTTATTAGGCTGTGCTGAGTCTTAGTTGTGGCATGTGGGATTTAATTCCCTGACAAGGATCGAACCCAGGCCCCTGCATTGGGAGTGTGGATCCTTAGCCCTTGGACCACAGGAAGTCCCTCATATCTCTGTTCTAAACCTGCAGCGCTGTCCGCAGTCTGCACAGTTGCTGAGGCTCTTCCATTCTCACACAGCTGCTGTTCCAGGGCCTTCTCGTGTGAACGCCCACAGACCCTCCCCCACACCACGCTCCGTCCTTCCCAGAGGACCCTGTGGATTGATCGTGGGGCTTTCCCTACTGGTCTGGGGATGGACCTGGAGTGTGGTGGGAGGGCTTCCCCGTTTGCCGTCACACACAGATGTGTTTCCTGTGGAGCTGCTGCGCTCTCCCTGTCTGCCGTCAGCCCCGTCCGCACCCCAGGCTTGGTCTCCTGACCCTCACCTATGTGGTGGGGCGTCCATGTCCACCTGCCCTGGTGCCTGGAGTGGACACCCATGATCCTTCTTGTGTGAGAGTGTCCAGCTCCTTATGACCCCTTGTCCCCGGAGCTGGGGTGCTTTGGGTTCTTTAGTTGACTTTTCTCCTCCTCTTGGCTCTGAAACTCCGAGAGGGTGCTTCCTGTGACCAATTCAATTCCCTAAAACAAAGACTGCACAAGTTATGTGCTTGGCTGTTAAGGCAAAAGTGTGTGTAAGCATATTTTCAGTTTTTTGGTTCTAACATCAAGTGCTGGAAGGAGGAGCTCGCCCAGCCTCTCTGCCTGAGAGTGACTCCTTCATGGAGGGGCAGGGGTGCGTGTGCAGTGTGTGACGGGGACGCGACAAAGTGTTTTCCAAAAGCCCCTCCCCGCAGGCCCCTCCTGCTGCCAGGGTGCTCCCAGCCAGCTCTGGGCTTTGATTTGATGAGGCTCCTCTGCTGACAGTCCCCAGACTTTGTCTCCAAGCAGTCTCTTTATGACGTGGAGGCATTAGCATACGAGCCTAGAGCCTCTCTGCTCTGACGAAGTGCACCCTTCCGGCTGTCAGAGTTCTCAGTGACCTTTGTAACCTGCGGCTGGCATTCCGAGGCTTGGGGGCCCAGGGAGGTGACTTGGGGATTGTGTGCAGGGTGTGGCCTGCAGGCTCAGCTGTTGGGTTTTGGTGTGAAGTTGTTGGTTGTAAGGTAGTGACTGCCGAACAGGTGTGTGGTTTGGACCAGGCCGGGTGCCTCGGGTCAGCGACCCCAGCACTCGTGGGGCTGGCGCCCGCCGCCCTTAAGCAGGGAGGATCCACCCCTGCTGGCACCTCTGTTCTCCACAGCCTTCCAGACAAACTTCTGAATGAGTTCAGTTCTGAAATGGTCTTTGGGGGATTGTAACGGAACGTCATTAAATCTGTAACATCATTTGGGAATATTAACTTTGTACTCTTTCCACGATAAGTTGTTTTCTTTATTAAGACTTTCTCTCTTTGGGGAAAGAGTGTGTCATGTTCTTTGCTTAGGCAGCGTGCACTGCCTTTAAGACAGCTCCCAGCTGTGCTCCGTTTGGAGGTGCCGGGCGCTCCCTCTGTGTTGCCTTTCTCGGTGATTGTTGGTGGCATGAACGTCACTCACTCGAGGTCTCCTGTGTGGCCACTTCACACAGCTCTGTGAGTTGTTTTTAGCTCATCTGGTAGTTAATCCCCAAGTGCACTGTAATGATTTTTTTTTGTCTTTTCCTTCCCAGTGCATTTGCTTCTGTTGTAGTTTTTTTAATCTCGGTGGCCAGGTCTGTTATTAGAGAGCCGTAGTCACTCATGCATTATGATGACAGCAGAAAACAGCGATCTAGCGTTGTATAAGTTCACAGCATTTAGAAAGTTAAAGTGCCCTCCCTCACAAGGCTGTCCTGTGGCCTCCAAGGCTCCAGTGGGTGTTGTGGGCCGCGGTCCCCCGGTCCCAGCCGACGTGCACGTTGTTCTGCGGGCGATGGTGGGGTCCCCGGGCACCTGTGCTTTGGGGCCGCCTCCAGGGTCATGTGTTGCTGCAGTGCCTGCTGCTCCATCCTGCCTTCCCTCTCCTGTTTGCCCTGAGGAGCTGCGGGGCACAGGGAGGGTTGGCACCCACCTGGCCCGACCCCAGGCCGCCCTCTTGGCATGCTGACCCCTGGTTTGGCAGGCGTCAGAGTCGAGTTGTGCCTGTGTGGAGAGCTGGTTGGGTCCCTGTGGCGGGCGCCTTGGGCGCAGGGACGCTCTGGCGGCCCTGCTTGGCTTCTCTCCCGGAAGGTATGGGCAGGTGCTGGGCTGAGGTGGACCTGGGTCCAAGTCCTTGGGGCAGATGGGCAGGGCCTCCTGCAGCAATGTGTGTTTCCTGTTGAGATGCAGCTTTCACCTAGAGTGGTGTGCACACACAGACGCTCTCTCTCTCTGAAGATGGTTTATCCCAAAAGAGAGAAGGAAAAGAAAGGCTGCGGGGCGTGGGGTAGGTGGGGGGGTCCTGGCCCCGCACAGCTGAGCGGCCAGCGCTTTCAGGACACGGACGCCTGGGCCCTGGCCGCTGGGGAGAGTGGGGGCCGCCCTCCGCCCACCAAGAGACGGTGGTGCCCAGGTTAGTTTCATTTCGATGGAGATTTTTAAAGTGATAAGTTATATAATTTGTACTTTTTGAAAATAGCTAGATCGCCCTGGCTAGACAGTTGATAACCTCTCAAACATGCCTGAAGGCAGCCGGATTCCTGGGCCCTCACAGCCCTCGCCCAATACGCCCTAGGCTGCTCTGCTGGGTCTGCCTTCCTGGGTCTCTGTCCTTGCCTCCTGACTGCCCCTTGTCACTGACGTCATACCTCGTGGAAGCCACTTGCCTCCTCGGTAATGGGGTTGGAAAAGTGGATAGTTAAGCTTGGTGAAGACAGGAGGTGAGGCGCCTTCCTGGGTGGGCGTGGTCACCGCCCGCTGGGAGGGCAGAGGGTGCAGGCGTGGGCCCTGCTGGGCTCTGGGCGAGGCCATTCTCCAGCCACTGGGACTCAGACAGGGCAGGGCTGAGGGACCAGTGGGACAGGACCTACCTGGCCCTTTAAGGCAGAAGCAAGGGCCTGGGACAAGAGAGGCCGCAGCCGTCACTGCCCAGCTTGCCAGAGCCAAGGCGGCCATCCAGTGCCCCCGCATGTAAGGGCAGAGCTTCCTCCACCCCGACTGGCGGCGTCTCAGCCCCAAGCGTGCCTGAGGAGCTGCTCACGGTTCATCCCCATGGGCTGCTCGCACAGCAGGGAGGCTGCCTGTCCCAGGTCACGTGGCAGTCAGCAGCAGAACCCAAGTGTGACCTGGGCCAGGCTGCGCAGACCTTGAGTCCCCGCTGCTGGCAGCAGACCAGGTGTGCAGAGATGACCGGACAGGTGGGAAGAAGCTGGGGTGTGCTGGCAATAAACTGCCCTGTCGCCAGGCCTCTGGCTACCCCAGGGTGGACTTGTGTGTGAGAGGGAGCGGTCTCTAAGGCACAGGTAAGGTGCAAAGGCGTGAAACACAGGAGGAGAACCGTGAGGTGAATTCTGTTTCAGCGATAGATTCTGAGTGGCCTTCTGCCGCTGGAGGAGGACCTCCTCGTTGTGCCCAGGCCTTGGGCCATGCTAGGTCTGGATGGGCACTGAGAGCTGGGCAGTGCCCGGCGCAGGCTCCAGAAACTCAGCTACAGCCAGTGGCCCTCCTCGCGTGGCCGTCTGCAGGCAGACCCGAGGGTACAGCTGTGTCGCGCTGGAGGAGGGTCCGGTGCCCTGCAGGCCTGATGTGGTGCCCGCGGAGAGGGTACCGAGGCGTGCAGGCAGCTCACCCGCTCCTCGCGGGGCCTCCTGGGGCTGGTGGTGCAGTGGGAGGCGGTCCGCACGTGAGGATTTGAGAGGGTGAGCACAGGAGCGGTCTTGCAGGCCAGGGGCCAAGAGAAGCCCCGGTGTGGGAGGAGAGGCCTGGGCTGCGGGCCCGGCCCTGCGCGCCCACCCTTCTGCACACAGGCCTGTGCTCAGCTGACGCATAGGTCCGGGTCATTCTTGAGTGGAGCGTTCTCCCTAAATTTCAGCACTTGCACAGGAGCCGTGGGTCTTGGTGAGAACTCGCCTTTAGGGGAAAGCACTGGCCTGGGGGCCCCGCCCGGAGGCTGGGTCCTTCTGCTCTGCAGGTTGAGCCTTTGCTGGTTGGCTGTGTCTGACCTGCTCCTTTGGGGCCGTGGGCACCGGCCAGCCCTGCTGGCCTCCTGCAAGACCTCTGTGAGCGGCCCCTTCGCCTCTGACAGTGGGAGTGGCTCCGTCAGGAAGGGGCCGGGCGTCCGTCTGTGCTGCCGGGACAGCTGGCTGGGAGGTGTGAGCGGGCCACTGGGCGGCCGCGGCAGGTGGCTGGCACCTCACCCCTTCTTTTCTCCCCCCAAGGCCTCTTCCGTTGGGCGGCTGCACTCCCGTGCACCCCGTGCGCCTCCCCTCCCGCGGCGGCCCCCTGGGCTGCTGGGCGCTGCGGCCCAGGCGCGCGTGCGCAGTGCTCGCGGGGCCGAGGCCCCTCCCCGCGCGCTGCTGGCACTCGTCGAGCCCGCTGAGCGATGACTCCGTGGTGGAGAAGTCCCTCCGGTCCCTCAAGGACAAGAACAAGAAGCTGGAGGAAGGCGGCCCCGTGTACAGCCCGCCCGCACAGGCGGCGGCCAGGAGGCCCCTGGGGCAGCGAGTGCTGGACGAGCTGCGGCACTACTACCACGGCTTCCGCCTGCTCTGGATCGACACCAAGATCGCCGCGCGCATGCTCCGGCGCATCCTCCGCGGCCACAGCCTGACCCGCCGCGAGCGCAGGCAGGTAATGGGCGCCCCCGCCCCGCCCCGAAGGGGGCCGCTCTGGGAGCGCAGCTGACCGGGGGCTGGGGCAGCGGGGTGCTGAGACCACCTGCGTCAGAGAAGAAACGGTGCGGCACTCCTTGGGAGGGCATGGGGAGTCGAACGGGGCTTTTCCTGGTCTCCTCCGCAGTTGTGTGTGGTTCCATGTTTCTTCATGATATTTAAATGGAATGTTCCTTTGTTGGAAAATACGCACCCTAAAATTTATTTTTACCCATTTTTAAATAAACAGTCTGTGACATTAAGTCCATTCACACTGTGGTGAAGTCGGTACCACCAGAACTCTTCATCTCTTCCCCAGCTGAACCTGTCTGGTTAAATAACAGCTCCCCATCTCCTGCCCCAGCCTCTGGCCCCACCACTCTACTTCCTGTGTCTTAATCTGACCCCTCTAGGGACCTCATATCAATGGAATCGCAGAGGGTCTGTCCTTTGTGACTGGCTTGTTTCCCTGAGCAGACTGTCCTTGAGGTTCACCCTTGTTGTGACAGGTGTCAGAATCTCCTTCCTTTTTAAGGCTGGATAGCCTTCCATCGTGTGGATAGACCACAGTTTTGTTTATTCATTCATCCATCTGTAGACATTTGGGTTGCTTCCATATTTTGTCTGTTGTAGGTAAATGGAATTTTAAAACTTCATTTTCCATTTGTTTATTGAGAGTATAGAGAAACAGTTGATTTTTATCAGTGTGTGGAGTACGAGGTGTGGCTGCAGCCCTCCTTGGGGCTTCGCTGAGGGCCAGTCCTCAGGGTATGGTCTTGTCCAGCTCTCCGCCGGGCCGGGGGGCAACTGCTGAAGCCCTGGGCTGGCCCGCGTGCAGCAGCTGCCAGTGACGGGCGCCACTTCTCGCAGAGTTAGCTCCCACCCAGCTTTTCTTTTCCTTTTTTAAACTCTTGACCGTACTCCACACAGCATGGGTGACAGATCCCCAGCCAGGGATCTGACCTGTGCCCCCTGTAGTGGGAGCAAGGAGTCCTGGGAGCCCCCCGCACCCAGCTTTTCTGAAACTGCATGGTTTGGCCCCCGGGGTGCCTGCAGAGCCCTGTCCGCTCCCCGGGAGGGCCCGCCGCCGCTCCCCTGCCGTTGTGAGAAGGCGTGCTCCCCGCTCACCCTCGGCCCTCTGCCCGTCCAGTTCCTCCGCATCTGCGCTGACCTCTTCCGCCTCGTGCCCTTCCTGGTCTTTGTGGTGGTGCCCTTCATGGAGTTCCTGCTGCCCGTCGCTGTGAAGCTCTTCCCCAACATGCTGCCGTCCACGTTCGAGACCCAGTCCAGCAAGGTGACCAGCCCGTTCCAGGCCCAGCTTGAAGTGGTTCCAGAGCTGCATTGTTCAAGTGTCATAGGCTACGGTTTCTCTAGAGCAGCGTCCCCAAGCCCCCGAGCGAGGCCTGTTACGGGGGAGCACACGGGTCTGGGGCAAGGCTGGCCAACTGCGGCCCACGCCGGCCCCGCCCCCCGGGCAATAAGGCCTTTTGGGGACACGCGTGCCCCACTGTGCATGCACTGTCTGATGGCCTTCATGTTTCCCGTGGCTCAGCCCACAGGGTCTGAAAAGCTTTACTAACTGGTTGTTTATGGAATTTGTGGGTCCCTTCTGTGGTGGGCTGTGGGGGGGGGGCAGGTGTGTCACCCAGAATTTCCTGTCATGAGCTAGAAAGTTTGGGAACACAGCTCATCGGTGGAGGAAGCGCTGTTTGGAGGCAGCGCTGTTCAGAGGCGTCTGGGAGGCTGGGCTGGGGGCATGTGCACTCGTTGCTGGGGCTGCACCGTCGTGCCGGCAGCTGGGGGCTGGGGTGCAGTGCCCTCTCTGACCTCGCAGGAGGAGAGGCTGAAGAAAGAGCTGCGGGTCAAGCTGGAGCTGGCCAAGTTCCTTCAGGACACCATCGAGGAGATGGCCCTGAAGAACAAGGCTGCCAAGGGGAGTGCCACCAAAGACTTTTCCGTGTTCTTCCAGAAGGTGCTGTGATGCTTTGTCCCTGTGGCTTGTCCTGTGGTCCCTGGAGCTGGTTACAGGCTGGGGCCCCTGCCTCCTTTCCCCCTCTTTCGCTATGCACAGTGAGGGTGGGGTTCAGGGCCAGGGCTGGAGGGATGTAACTGGTCCCACCCCGAGCCCTTGGAGGCCACACCGCTGTCCCGGGGATGTGCACCGCCATCCACCAGCCTCTTGTGGGTCTCCAGACTGCAGCAGCCCTGGGGCAGGAACCGAGGGCCCACACTTGTGACAGGTGGGGCCTGGGCTGGAGGGGAGGGGGCAGACTGCCCCATGGCCATGTCCACTCTCGGGGAGGGAGGTGGGTTTCCTGCCCCACATGGAGAGGCCCCAGCTCCTTCCTGCCAGCCGCCTTTGCCTGCTGGCACAGCACGCGGAGTCCAGGGACGAGACTCCGCGTGCTGCATGACGCCCTGCTCGCAGAAGCCGGGCCGGTCGGCACTCGAGTCTGGGTCCCACTGGCCGCTCCCTGTGGGTGTTTCTGAGCGTAGAGCTGAGGGAGGCTGTAGACAGCCCTTCTGCTTTGTTTCCTGACTCGAGGCGTGTGCCCGGGAGTTGTGGGGGTGCCGAGGGACACGCAGCCTGCTAATAGTGACCCTTGCGATGGCTCCTGCAGATCCGCGAGACGGGCGAGAGACCCAGCAATGAGGAAATCATGCGTTTTTCCAAGCTGTTTGAGGACGAGCTGACCCTGGACAACCTCACGCGCCCGCAGCTGGTGGCGCTGTGCAAGCTGCTGGAGCTGCAGTCCATCGGCACCAACAACTTCCTGCGCTTCCAGCTCACCATGAGGCTGCGCTCCATCAAGGCGGACGACAAGGTAGGCGCGCGTCCGGGCTGTGCTGGGGTCGCACGGGTTCAGCCGCCATGACAGCCCATTTCCGTGGTAGGAAGTAGTCACTGAGAAGGTGGGTTTTACAGCGGCCTCACTTCCATCATAGGGGTATGTCATAATTTATTTTCCGTTTCTTTAACTAAGCTTGTGCTTCCCTAAAAGGCACTCTAATCAAAACCTTTTAATGTAGATTTTACCCCAGATCTTTGATAAATCCTATAAAAATAGTGACCTAGAACTGGGGCCGCCCGAGTAAAGGGCAGGAAGTCAGAAGCAGGTCCTGACCACGACCTGGTTGCCCCCCTGCTGGCCCACAGTGCGCCTCGAGTGTGCGTCTCCCGGGAAGAGATCTCGAGGCGCCCGCGTCCTCCCCGGTGCCCTTTCAGCCTTCATTCTGTGGTGTTTGGTGTCTGAGAGCTGGGCCAGCTTGCTGTTTTACTTACAGGATTCCCGTCCTTACATCTGCTGAATGTGCTTGCTGTTGTTCTGACCTGCGCGGACGACCTTCTGTCTCATAGCTGGCGTATTTAGTTTATACTCTGTTCCTCCTGCCTGTTTTACGTTCCACTTAATCTCTTTCCTTGCCTTCTTTGCATTAATTAGCTATTTACTCTTGTGTCCTCTTTCCATTAGCTTATTTACTTATTACCTGAGCTGTTTCTCTAGAGTTTACAGCCGGCTTCCCTGAGCACAGGAGTCTAGCAGAGTAGATGCTTTTCCCGCCACATGTGTGCTGGGGCTGCGGGGCCCTGCCGCATTACCCTCCCCCTTGTGTGCATTGCCTGCGTGTCTGTGCACCACCACGTGTTTCTCCTCCTGACCCCGAGCCTTCCTGCCTGTTTCCACCCAGGCCGTTTCCTCCACTTGACAAGTCCCCTCTGTATTAGCCTCCCTCCTGCAGGGTGTTGCTGGGCAGAGGACCCAGGGCTCGCGGGTCTTTTTCATGTTTAAAGATGCTGCTGAGTGTGTGTCAGCCACCAGGCCTGTTACTGTTCTCTGAAGATGGCCATCTTTCTCTGCAGCACCTCAGATTCTGTTTGGATTTATCAGTTTCACAGTAACGTCCCGAGGTGGTGTGTCTGTAGTACTGTTTCCTGGTTCTGGTGTTTCCATTGTCTCATTAAATACCACCCACCCCCCAGTATGTCAGGTTACCTATCCTCTCTTCCTCTTGATCTGATTACTCTTAAATCCATCCTCTGAGATTCCCATTTTCAGGTAAAACTGTCTGTCTTGTTCTCTGGAAGCAGATCAGTACCGAATTTCGTAGGCATGAAGAGACGTGGTGTGGAAAGCCTGCTATGTGGCTGCCCCACCTGGGAGCAGGCAGCCTGAAGGCAGGCAGCCTTGGTTGGGGCCTGGCCACTCACTGTTGTGTGATGTTGAACAGGTGGCCTGACCTCAGTGCTGGGACTCCTGGGAGGTGGGGGGCGGCCAGACCTCTGCAGTTGAGCAGTGGATGGGGCGTGCTTTCCTCCTGACGTGAGGTGAAGACCTGCGTAAGACGTCTGGAAAGCAGGAAGAGGCGTCTGAGACCCCGGGACTGACGGGAGGTCTGTGCCTCAAGAGACCCAGCCTTGGGCCTGAAGACACCCGAAGGCACTGAAGAGGACAGACTTTAGAAGCCCGTCCTCTGAGCATAGGAGGGAGGTCACCCTGCAAGACAGGAGACGTCTGAGCGTCGCTGCAGCCAGGCGCCCAGGACGTGTCCCCACCCTGCCCCCGTGCTGGGCGGCAGGGCTGAGCGTGGACCCCTCGGTGATGTCTGTGGAGGCCGGCTTGTCCCCTGCTGCCCATCTGTGGTGGGGACCTGCCGGGGGCTGCCCTCCACACCCATCCTCAGGCCTGAGACACTCACCCCCCACCCCCCCACTAGAGTGGTGTCAGGAGGGGCCGGTCAGGAGGCTCTCCTGCCCCTCCCAGCCAGCAAGCATGCTAACGGGGGCCCAGAGTCCACCCACCCAGTCCAGCAGTCAGAAGAGCCTCTGCCCCGACCTCAGTGGAAGCCAATCCCACCTGTTCAAGAACGTGCCCAGGATGCAATTTACGGGTACGACTGAGTGATGTCACGGAGAGCTCAGGGCCGTTGGAGGGAGCTCGTGCTCACAGTTCCCAGAGACCAGGAAATGAGGGGAGGCAGAACTGTGACTTGGCCTTTATCCCTGGTTTAGTGGGCGTGGTCAGCTGGAGACGTTTCTGATTGGGCAGGAAGTGAAACAGAGGTCTGGGTTTGTGGTTGGAGAGTTTACGATTTTTGCACACCCAGGAAAGGCCACAGGGGCGATGTAAACAACTTTGGCTGTTAGTTTGGATCAGTAGATGCCAGACTGTCCGTTACACGCCTGTGAACGTGGGGTGTCACACCCCCGCCAGAGTGCTGTGGGAGGGAACCTGCTAGGACAGAAGGCAAGAGAGCCAGGACCTCGTAGCCCCAAACCCAAAGTGTCCAGCCTCCTCTGAAAATCACTCCTCGTGCTAAGAACCAGGAGGAAGGACCTCAGTGAGAAAAGGCAGTTGGTGGGCACCAGCGCTGAGTGGACAGATACAGTGGGTCATATTGACCATTGGCCATTTCCCAGATTCACTAAAAGACATAAATCTACAGACTTAAGAAACCAAGTGAATCTCAGACAGGATGTACCCATAGAAATCCACACGAAGACAGAATCAGATGAACAAACTTAAAAGACAAATAATTTTGAAAGTGATGAGAGAGACTGCAGGACAAACAGTTTGAATGAGAGTGCATTTCTTGTCACAAGCCTGGAGGCCAGAAGGAACTGGGAAGTGTTTCTTTATGTGCTGAAAAAAAAAACAAAAAACTGTCAACTCAGTCCTGTATTCAGCAAAAATAAAAATTAAATTAAAAATTTAGAAAAAACTGGGATGAGGGGGAATCACGATGTTCTCAGGTGAAGGAAAACCAAGCTTGTGGTGGAGCATCTGGAAGCGACTGTGTGTGGCAGGCGACAGGCTATCGCTCCTGATGGTGAGTTGGCCCTGTGAGGTGAAGTGTGATGGTGGAAGCAGAGATGGACTCTGTGTCCAGCAGTGGCGTTCGGATGAGTTCATTCGGCGGGGGAGGATGAGTTGAATGCATCCTGCCCTCAGAGCAGCCCCTGAAAAAGGACGCGGCGATGCGCTGGGAAGCGCAGAGGGGCCACGGGCGCTGCTAGAGGATGGGCAGGGGGAGTCATCACGCCACCTCTCATAACCACTCAGCGCTGGAGACAGGCCAGACGTCCTGCCCTGGGCGAGCGGTGGGAGCAGGACCATTGTGGGTGTGGCGTGCTCACCAACACAGGGGCTGCCTGGGTCTCCAGGGCCAACCGGAAGCTTCCGCAGCATGCAGATGACCGATGGCAGAGCAGACTCTTGTCCGGGGGCAGCTGTGTCTGAAGGGGCCTCTTGAGGTCCTCGTGGGCACGGCTCGGCATCGCCTCTCGGGCGTGCCCTGAGACCACCCATCAGGTGTGACGGGGGCCCGCACGGCTGCACAGGGTGCCGTGGCTGTCCCCGGGCTGGCAGCGGGCGCTGTTGGCCTTCCTCCTTCCCTTCTGTCCCCTCATCCCTGCACGGGCTCCTCGAGACCCCGGTGATGTGCCCCCTGCCCCGGGCACTCCTGCGTGCTTCCCGCTTTGTCACTGCGGCCTCAGGCTGCACAGGGAGGGTCAGGAGGCATCTTGAGCGCAGTCACCCCAGTCCCGTCCTTCCTCTCCCGTCCTGGGAACACAGGACGCTGGCCATGCGGGGCACGGGAGGACTGTGGAATTCAGGCAGCGCGGGGCCTGGGCCTAGTGGAAGGCCTGCATCCCGCGGTGGGTCCTGGCCCTTGACCCTGAGGTCCCTCCCTCTGTCAGATGGTCTGGTCCCTGCAAACTCGGAACTGGCACCTCGGGTGGGTGGGGGGTCGTTTTCCTCGTGTTTGGCAGAGTGTGTCGGGAAGGTTCTAATCACACGCTTAGACTAGTGTATGTATACAGACAGCACAGACCCTCCCTCGAGGGGTGAGCCCTCTGGAGGTCACTGGCTTCTTCCTTCTTCCTTTGACAGCTGATTGCCGAGGAGGGCGTTGACAGCCTGAACGTCAAGGAGCTGCAGGCGGCGTGTCGGGCGCGAGGCATGCGGGCCCTGGGTGTCACAGAAGACCGCCTGCGGGACCAGCTGAAGCAGGTGCGTGGGGCAGGGCCCTTCAACCCCGGCTGGAGGCCCCCGCGGCTCTGCGCCCGCCTGGCGGGGCCTGTGTACGCCTCGGCAGGGCTCTGGGTAACCACTGGAGTCTTTCCTGCTACTCTGCCTGGTCTTCTGAGGATGCCCGAGGGCCAGGCCAGCTTTCTGTGAGAGTCCTGCGTGCCCCTCAGCGGAGGCTGGGGTGTGGGCCAGTGGGCCCCAGGCCAGCCCGGCCGCTGCTAGCCCTGCTCTCAGCAGCCCCTGGCGGCGTGTCCTGCTCCATATGCCCCAGGCCCGCGGTCTCACTGCAGGGCATCTGCCACCCGGGACTCAGGTGTGAGTGTGGCAGCCGACAGACACCTTGTAGGGCTTGAGGCGTTTCTGGGAGAGCTCACTCAGATGATGGGGTCCACTCAGGCACTGCTATGTTTGCTGCCAGCCTGCACCCCGCTCCCCTCCCCAACGCAGACCAGAGTGGGGAGGGTTCGGCCAGGTCCTGTGGGCGGCCAGGCCGGAGGTGAGCCTGGGTCTTGAACTCCCACTCACAGTGGCTAGAGCTGCACCTGCACCAGGAGATCCCGACATCGCTGCTCATCCTGTCCCGGGCCATGTACCTTCCTGAGACCCTGTCACCCGCTGACCAGCTCAAGTCCACCCTGCAGACCCTCCCGGAGATCGTGGTGCGTGCAGCCGACCCCTCTGCTACTCTGTTGGGCCCCTCGCTTCTCGGGGAGATGCCCCCAACTCTCTCTCTCTTGTCTGTCTTTCCTCCCCTGAGGGCCCTGCGGGACGTGGGAAGGTGGCCCTTGGGGCCCTTCTCCTTGGGAAGCAGGCCCGGAGGGGACAACGCCTGGAGACACTGGCTGGGTGCTGGGGCTGCACTGGTGGGGAGGCTGCCCGGCGTTGGGGCACGCTCACGGGCTCCCCCCACCTGAAGGCGAAGGAAGCCCAGGTGAAGGTGGCCGAGGTGGAGGGCGAGCAGGTGGACAACAAGGCGAAGCTGGAGGCCACGCTGCAGGAGGAGGCGGCCATCCAGCAGGAGCACCGCGAGAAGGAGCTGCAGAGGAGGAGCCAGGCGGCCGCGGCCCAGGCAGCGGTGAGTGCGGCGGCGCGGGGGTGGGCGGGGGCGAAGCGGGCGCTGCCAGCCTGGGCCCGAGACCCTGAAGCTGAGGGTCGGGGCCCTGTGGGTGCTGGGGCCTGGAGGAGGAGCGGCGTGAGCGCGCCTCAGCCCTACAGCGCTGGCTTGGAGCGTCCTGCGGGGGAGCCTTGTGGAAGTGCGCTTCCGACCGGAAGTGCCGGTCGGCCAGGCTCCACAGACCTCGACCCTCATGGAGCCGGCCCTCTGGCCAGCGGCGTCTCTGCCGGTGTGGACGCCCCAGAAAGCCGCGGTCCTGCAGGGGGTGCTGAGCCGGCAGCGGCCTTGCGTTTCAGAAGGAAGCGGAGCCCGAGGTGGTGGCTGAAGGTGCCCCGGGGAGGCCGGTGGCTGAGCTGCAGCCGGAAGAGCCTGCTGTGATCCTGCCTCCCGAGGTCTTGAAGGACAGCGCGCCAGTCCTGGAAGGCTTGAAGGTAACGGTGCTCACCAGAGGGAGCGGTGTGCAGCCGCCAGATGCCAGCGGCTCCAGGGGCTCCCGAGGACGCGGGGCCCAGACGCCTGCAGCCTGGCTGCGGAGGGTGACGGTGCACGGTCGCAGGGTGTGGAGAGCGAGCCCGGAAGGGAGGTGGCCCAGCCTTGGCTCAGCCCATGCTCCTCGGGCAGGATGCCCAGCAGGGATACGGGTATGGTCCTTGTGGAGGCTCACTGTGCTGTCACCTTCCAATGTGCTGCGTACCTGGGTGCTCGCTTCTGGCAGCCTCACCGTCCTGCCCTGGACCCACACTCAACACCCCTGCCGCCAGGCAGGCCTTGGTACAGGGGCACGGCGGGCGGAGCAGCTTCTGACGGCGCTGTGCTTGGTCATGCTCACGGCAGGTGCAGTGTCATCGGTAGCTGGCGTAGGAGAGAGGAAGCAGGGCGGCAGGTTACATCTGGGGCTTCCCAGCGAGTCATGGGGTGGGGGCCCCTGTGAGGTCGCGCTTGTCAACACCTGGGTGGGGCTGGGCTTCGTGAGGTGCGCCGAGGGCCCAGGGGTGCCATCTGAGGATGGAGCCCTGAGGGCCAGCGTGGGGTCATTGGAGGTGGAGGAGAAAGCCCCACTGCAGGGCGTCAGGGAGGGTCCGGGGGACGTGGGCCCTCCAGGCTGCTGGGTGGGAAGGGCCTGTGATAGGGCACGGGGTGGTGAGAGGCTACTCGTCTGAGAAGAGGAGGCACGGAGCGCTGGGTGGGGGTCCTGCTGAGGCGCGGCTTCGGGGGCAGCGGTGGGCGGGGGCTCGCACAGCCTGCGGCATGCCCACTGTGCTCTGCCCCAGCCAGTGACGGCCCGGGGGACAGATGACCAGCGCTCCATGTCACCGACGTGCGGCTTGAGGAATGAGGCTCCTGGGGGCCTGGGCTGCCCGTGGCTCGAAAGGAGACCTGGGAAGGGTCAGGGACCGAGGAGCCAGGGTCCTCCTGAAGGCAGTTTGGGGCTGCGACGGGAAGCAGATCAGAGGCGGGGTCTGGCAGGCTCACAGCGCGCTGCCTGGGGGAGGGCTCATCAGTCTGCACTCAGGCCGGTGATGGCTCCATGCAGAGAGAGGCGGCCCATTGCCAGTGCAAATAGGACTGAGACAGAGGGGGACGTTTGAACTCTTAGGAGAGCTTGTGAACTTAGGGTTGCCAAGGATGACTCAGCAGGAAGCACACAGAACGTCAAAGAACCTCGGCTTATGAGAAAGATGCCTCGGAGAGCGGGGCAGCGCCATTTCCCGTCTGCAGTGGAGGGGTCTTGGGGTGTCGGCCGTCTCCGGGGACAGAGAACCCAAGTCGCTGAAAACCTCACCGCAGGGAAAGGCTTCGGGGTAGCGGTGCTGCTGCGTCCACACAGAGGGAAGTCCTTCCCGGACCGCACATCCTCTTGGCTAGAAGCTGAAGAGGAGGAGGACCCTGAGATGAGCGCCTCCGGAGGCCGCACCAGGGGAGTCAGAGGCAGCCGCAGACGGGGTCTGTCCTGAGCAGAGTGCGGTTCTCCGCGAGCTCCAGGAAGTGCCGTGTGGCTGCTCTGTAAGAAGGACAGTGCGGCGTGACTGGCTGCCCTGGCTGTCAGTGGTCAAGAGTCCACCTGCCCGGGAGGGTCCCACAGGCTCAGCCTGTGAGCCGCCGCTGGTGAAGCCGACACACTCTGGGGCCTGTGCTCTGCGCCAAGAGAAGCCACTGCAAGTAGAGCAGGCCTGCACGCGGCAGCGAAGACCCATTGCAGTCAAAACGATGAGCAGATGTTCATAAATAAGGATTAGTATGAACAAATAGTTAAGTTAGAAAACGCATCATGACCTGGTGGGGCTTGTTTAAGGAATCCAGAAATATTAGTGTCACAAGCACGTTAACAGACTCAAGAGCGAAACCGTGAGCGATCGTCTCAGCAGAGGTACATAAAGCAGTGGGCTGAACTGAGCCCTGTCGTCAGCTAACGTGGGAGTGAGCCTTCTGACCGCAGGGCAGCGAGGGGCGCCCCTGATCAGAGGACCCCCGGCGGCTGGGGTGTCCGCGCCCCGCCTGCTGTGCGTCAGCCGCAGGGTCTAGCCAGGATGGTTAGAAGAGAAGATGAAGTCACGTGGTGGGTGGACTGTTCACAGGTGCCGTGAGCGCCTGAGAGTGATTGTACTTCTTAGTGCTAGAGATGAACACCCATGTTGAAATTTTCACACATGTCACAGATAGATCATACCCCAAAAGTGAATTACTTGGGGTAAATTTGGAAATAGGCATGAAGACCTGTACAGGATGCTATAAACTGTTGTTGAGGTAAATTAAAGCAGTAAGTAGAGAGCTTCACTGCACTCTTAGACATGAAGACTTAATGTTGGTAGGCTGTTAATTCTTCCTAGCTGATCTGTGGATTCAAGACCACTACAATCCCAGCATCCTTTGTTGTTGACATTGACAAGCTTATTAACCTATGTGGAAATTCAAGGGACCAGCCATGTTTTCTAGACTCATTAAAAAAGACCCTGATGCTGGGAAAGATGGAAAGCAGGAGGAGAGGAGAAGGGGATGACAGAGGATGAGATGGTTGGATGGCATCACCGACTGAGTGGACATGAGTTTGAGCGCGCTCCGGGGGTCAGTGAGGGACAGGGAGGCCTGGCGTGCTGCAGTCCACGGGGTCGCAGAGAGTCAGACACGACGGAGCGACTGAGCAACAACAGAGGATAGCCATGATGATGGACGAGCAGGTCCTTGTACTGGCGGATGGAATTGTACGTGGCGGTTAAAGGAACACGCCGTCACGGTGAATCTGAGTGACGGAGCTCGAGCCATGTGACACCGTTTGTCAGAATTCCATGAGAATTCAATGAGTCTGTCATGACAGAAGTCCCAGGGTGGAGGGTTCCTGATTCGAGGAAACTTTTGGGGCGATGCTGCTTCTTGGTCGGGTGGTGGTGGCTCCGTGGGGGTCTGCCAGACACACCTGCGCAGGCACCCTCAGGGGTGGGGGGCACACCGGGGCGCGACGACGCTGCCTGCAGGGACACGGCTCGGACGGAAAAGTGGGCCAGCCCTTCCGGCAAACCCAGTTACTCCCTTTCACGTAGGTTTTTTTGGTTTGCTGGTTTGTTTTGTTTCCAGGAAGAGGAAATAACTCAAGAGGAAATTGATGTACTCAGCGATGCGTGCTCGAAACTGAAGGAGCAGAAGAAATCCCTGATGAAGGAGAAGGAGGAGCTGGAGCTGCTAAAGGAGGACGTCCAGGACTACAGCCAGGTGGGCTGCGCTCAGCGCCCGCCACGCCGGCCGCGGGCCAGGGCCTGCTGGCCTGGGGGCCTCTGCACGGAAGCCTGGGCTTACGGAAACCCCGCTCGGTAGCGCCTCCAGCCATTCCAGTGGGTCCCTTTCCCCTGGAATGCTGGCCATTCGCCCTTGTAGCTGACAAGCAGGTATCTTTTTAGTTTCTAAACACATGAAGGTATCAGATGAACAGCCTGGTCACTGGGTATATGACATCTTATGTTTGTTCGTGACTTCCCAAAAGAGACTTCTTTCTTACATACTAGTTCTTTTTCTTTTTTGAGATTGGCAAAACTAATTTGCCATTTTCTCCTCCTCCTCGTGGCAGCCCTCTCATTGTGCAGGTCCTCGAATCCCCATGTCACTTCCCATTGTTCCCAGTGACGCTTGCTCGTAGGGAAAGCAGACACTCCCATTCCTTGATTCTTTTATCCATTAGGAAGACAATCAGGGTTCAGAAATGAGTCCGGATTTCCTTTGATACGAAAACTATGTTTGAGTTTTCAAAGATGAGAACAGACCTGCATGGTGGTCAGGAATGAGTGAGCAGCTTTGTGGCTGAAGTAAGCGGGTCTGCTCCACCACAGCCCAGACCTTTCCCCTTCCGTGATGTAGTCTGGACTGACCCACTTACTTTATTTTTTTATTTTTTTATTGGAGAAAAATAGAACCACCACGTACACAGGGAAAAGAGCACAAAAATTCAACTGATACAGAATAGAAAGTCACAACTACCCAATGTTGTTTGTGATTACTTTTCAATTTCTTAAATGGCTTCCCTCAATTTTTTAAATAGCCTTGCCAATTTTTTTCAGCTGAAATAGCATCAAGTTTTCAAAAAATTAAGAGCCTCGGCGAAGGGACCAGCTTTTAAGTTAACAAAGGTGACACCTAGAGTCTCCTATAGGACCAATTCTACCGAAAAATTCCTGAAGCACATAACTACTGAGTCTGGTAGAACAGTAGCTCAGAGACCATCAGGGATTAGTTAGAACACTGACTCAGACGGTCCAGTATGCAGAGAGGGCAAACAAAAAGGCTGCATTTCCCTGTCGGATGAGTTCACTTAAGAAAACCAAGGAGGTGCTAAGAAAATACAGGTAATGGCTGCTCAAAATAATTAAGAAGGCATTCTAAATACCACTTATTATTAGACAATAGTGTGTAAAGTGATGCAATTAGAAAACAGGCAACTTAAAAAAAAATATGGTCACAGGTCTTTGAGAACTCAAGAAAATAATAGCAAACAAGAGCTGAAAGTCTCAGCTGAGGGTTGAAAGTGAAAGTGAAGTCGCTCAGTCATATCCGACTCTTTGCGACCCTGTGGACTGTAGCCCACCAGGCTCCTCCGTCCATGGGATTCTCCAGGCGAGAAATCTGGAGTGGGTTGCCATTTCCTTCTCCTGGACTGACCCACTTACTTTCAAAGGTAAACTTAAGGTTTCTTTTTTGCCGTAAGACGATCTGTTTACAACTAAATAATTTTATTAGGATTTACAGGAAATCAAGAAGGAACTTTCAAAGACTGGCGAAGAAATGTATGTGGAAGAGTCTAAAGCCAGCAAGAGACTGACCAAGCGGGTGCAGCAAATGATCGGGCAGATGGACAGCCTGCTGGCACAGCTGGAGGCCGACCAGAAGGCGGGCAAGCTGGGCCCTGCTGCTGAGGGTGCGCCTGCAGGGTGAGTGCGACGCCTTGGACTCCAGCCTGGGGCCTCTGACTCGGCACCGCTTTCAACCTGGGTACCTCCCAGCCACCCCTTCCCTCTGATCTGGCAGCAGTAGCTTCTCCATGATGCTGTCACTGAACCAGCCCTGAGTCAGGTCTTCCTAGCACACTGCATGCGCGCACATGCACAGTCACATGTGCACACGTGCAGATGTGCACACGCACAGACACATGCACACGTGCACAGTGCACACGTACAGACGTGCACACGCACAAACAGGCACAGGTGCACACGCTTAGACACATGTGCACACACACAGTGTGGTGCTGTCACCACGTCGGGAAGGCCTCTGGCAGCTTGCCTGCTCTCTCTGCATCAGCCCTCCTGGCCCTCTCAGGCCACCATCGCCAGTCCTTCCAGAGCCTCCGTGGGTCACAGCGCCCCCAGCCTCTCCCTCCCTCCCTCCAGCCTCAGCCCCGCTCGCTTGGCGCTGCGTCCTCAGACCACTGCGCTCTCTCCCACCGCCTCCCTCGTCCTGAGCACCTGCAGTCAGGATCCCTGTGCGGGGGCCAGCTCTGCACGGTGTGTCCCAGGGGCCTGGGTTGGCAGCCGGCAGGGGGGTGTCCTGTGAGGGGCTGCAGATGAAGGAAAGCCCTCCAGGCGGCAGGGGCTGACTCCCCTCACTCCTGCGGGCTGGGCCCTGCGCTGCGAGTGCCCACATCTCCGGGGGGCGCCTCTGCCTTCCTGGGTTAGTGGCCCTAACTCCAGATGAGGCCAGTGTCCCCTCCCGGCCCCGCCCACCCTGCCCCAGGCACAGACGGGCCTGAGGAGCCCTCTGTCCTCATCGCCCCAGAGAGGCCGGTCGTGCCAGGCAGCTGTGCGCAACGGGCGACCACCTGGAGTGGCGGCTTCTGCCTATGTCCGCCCTGGCCGGGGGTCCCGAGCTGATGGGGCGAGGGGGCCCTGGGTGGAGGGCTGCTGGCTCAGGTCTGGGCTACGGGCCCACGGGGGCGAGGTGCTACATGCAGGCTCTGTCCGCAGGGAGACTGTGATCAGCGTCTCCGAGCTCATCAGCGCCATGAAGCAGATCAAGCACATTCCCGAGAGCAAGCTGCTGAGCCTGGCCTCGGCACTGGACGACAACAAGGATGGCAAGGTCAACATTGACGACCTCGTCAAGGTGGGCCATGGGCCGCCTGCGCCCACTCCCGAGAGGCTGGGCCCGCCCGCCCTCTGAATACCACGTGGCGAAGGGGGAGGGCAGTAAGTCCTGGGCACGGGGCCTCTCCCAGCCCCGCAGGACCCCGGCGGGGTCTGGGAAGCATAGCGTTGGGGTGCCTGGGGCATGCAGCCCTGGAGAGGAGCCGCCTGCCCCTCAGCATCCCTGGGGGCAGCTGGTGGGCGTGGGGCCCGTGAGGCCTGAGAGGACCCGGCACCCAGCGCTGGGGCTACACCTTGTTAGAAGCCTGTGGGCTCCGGCGTCTCTGTGGCTCTTGTGTCCCCAGTCCAGTGGGGACTCTCACTCAGAACACCAGCGGCCGCGGCCCAGCGTCCTCACCACGGTGGTACCTGCAGCCCTCCTTGGGGCTCCCGATGCTCTGCCCCGTGGGGCCTGGCCTGCAGCCTCTGGGCTGTGCAGCCCCCCTGCCTGCGGCCCTGGGTCCCGGGAGGCCCAGCTGGCACCCCGCCCAGGCCTGCGGCCTTGGGCTTCCCGCGCCCCAAACCCCTCTCCAGGCTCTGTGTGGCCTGGTCTCTGGGGTCTGTCGGCTCCTTGGGGTGGGGGTTCTGGTCCTCAGAAGTCCAGGGCGGGTGGAGGACCCCAGTCCCTGGAAGGACAGTGCCGAGGGCCCGCCTGGCCAGTCGCTGCACCCCGCTGCCTGCTGTGCTCTGAGGGGAGCCTCTGCCGTGAGGGGCAGAGCCACCTGAGCCCCACATCCCCTCCCTTGTGCACAGGTCATCGAGCTGGTGGACAAAGAGGACATCCACATCTCCACCAGCCAGGTGGCCGAGATCGTGGCCACGCTGGAGAAAGAGGAGAAGGTGGAGGAGAAGGAGAAGGCCAAGGAGAAGGCAGAGAAGGAGGCGGCTGAGGTGCAGAACTAGGGCCGGCCCAGCCCCCGGCCCGCAGGCCCTCGCGCCCCCTCCCGCCACAGTGGTCCCGACGTGATGCTGATTGCTTTGAAGTGATTCTTAGTGACGGACCTAATATTTTATCTGGAATAAATCAGAAACTTCATAATCAAGTAATTTTTAACACTCATCATTCCATGAAGATTGAGTCAGCTCGGAGCCCCCGTGCCCATCCAGGGAGGCTTCTCTGGGTCACCAGGGGCCCTGCGCTGTGGGGTCCCAGCCGTGGTGGGCTAGGGCGGCCGGCTGGTGACGGTTGTGGCCCTGCACACCCCCTGGCTCCTGAGGCGGCTCGGGCCTTCCTGCTCACCCCCTGGTGGCGTCTGCCACGGAGGAGAGGACCCGCCGCAGGGGTGCACCAGGCAGACACAGCCTCCTCGGCCTAGAGAAGCTGTTTCGCGTCTTGCGGACTTGGATTCCTGAGCGTCAGTGTGAACCAGTGAGCAGACCACACCTGCCATCTCCGTGGCTCCTGGGAACCTCGTCTCACGCTCTCGTGTGGGCATCCACGTCCTTTCCTGAGTGACCTTGGATTCTCACCTAATCCTTCAACCAACTAGCTAGCGCCGAGCTTCCTCGTGCGCCAGTCTGCCCAGCTGAGCAAAGTGAGCGTCAGTTACGCCAGGAGAGGTGCTGATGAAGCCCTTGAAAATGAAGCCTCCCCTGTGCAGGAATTGGTCATGCTTCGTCATCGCCTAACCCCCCGTCCTGGGTGTTCAGATGGATTTCATTGCGTCTCACCCCAGAGGGCGCTCGAGGGGCCTGTCTGTGTCCGCCTGAGGCCCTTGGCCACGTGCATGCCTCAGGTCAGGGAGCCGGGTGGCCGTGGCCCAGCGCCGTCTGGCTCTCTCTCTGGACGCTTGGGCAGAGCCGACCAGAGCGCTCCGTGGGGAACCGATGTGGGCCTGGGAGGCGGGGGGCTGGTAGAGCTGGCGGGACGAGCAAAGGGGACAGCTTCTGGGTGATTTGAAACCTGGTGCTCCGCTGCTGACGGACCTCGGGCAAGAGGAGTAGCTCTGAGTCCTCCAGTGGACACCCATGTGAGGGGGCGGTGGGTGCTAGAGGTTTTTATTTCAGTTATTTAAGGGGGCGTGTTCTAGAGGCTTCCTTGGTATTTGTGAGTTATCTCACTTGTTTAGTGGCCCAGTTTTCTGCTGCAGAAATGTGTGTGCTTGTGAACCTCGTGGTGGCCGGCGTGCTTGAGAGGCTAGTCTTTTCCTGCTCTATCCTCATCTCGCTGCCTTTGCCGGGCCCCTGGGGTGGCCCCCACATGCTGTCAAGCCCCCGACCTCCCCGCAGGGTCTGCCACAGGCAGCAGGCAGACCCCCCCCCTCACTGCCCCCACCCTGGCGCGGCGGGCCCCTCCTCCAGCATCTGTACCCCGGGCCTGTCTGCTGCAGGCTTCCCCTTGGAGTTGCTTGTTTTTATTGTCCTGAACTTTATTTATTACAGCTGAGGTGAGTGCCTGGGTGCGGGCATGACGGGTGAACAGTGCTGGGATTGAGCGTGGGGTGTGATGCGGCGTCGGGGTGGCTGGCTATCGGCTGGGTGCCCGGGGCCTGCACCCACCTTCCTGAGCTTTCTCAGGAGTGCGCTTGAGTCCCCGGGGCCATGACACCATGCCGCATTCTTCCTGCTTTGCACCAGCTGAACACACCCCTGTTATGAAGGATTCAGGAGACTGACGTAGCTTCCAGAGTCGCTTTGGAATATCCAATTTCCGATTTTAAAAGCAAAGAGCACCGTGTAATTTGTGCAGCATCACCTTCAGGCAGTGACCCTCATAGCAGGCCCAGGACCAGCTTCGCCGGAGGGCTGCCTCCTTGGGCTGTGTGTAAACACCTTTTCTAGAAATAGCTTTTTTAATTAAAATATCAAACTCATGTTCATGTAACAGCTCAGAGCAAGATTTCTGAATCCCGGGGCCCGTCCACACTTAGGGTGGGAAGTGGCAGGGTTGTCTGAGCATCTGGCTCCGGCTGCGCTCCAGCCCAGCCTCCGAGGTTGCCTGCCCTGGGAGCACGTGTCCCGCCCATCCCCGCAGACTGTGCTGGAGGCTGGATACTCGACTTCCTGTGTGGAGAGGGCTGAATAAAGTGCCGTCTTTCTCACTGGACTGTTGCGGGACGCTCTGTCTGACCAGGCTCTCCTCCCCACAGCCCTCAGTGGGCCTGGGGGTGGTCCGCAGTGGGCAGGGCTGGGACCTTGGCCAAAGGATCACCAGGAGGGGGAGATCCTAAGAGACTGAGGGCCCCTGGGGTCGGGGGGAGCACCGGCCAGAGCCCATCCCTGTCTGAGGGGCCCTGAGGCCCTGCAGGCCTCCCAACACCTGTGCAGAGCCAAGAGAACCGACCAGGCCTGCAGCCCCAGGCTCACATCTCGGCTCCAGGGCTGTGCCTTCCCTGGGCAGACAACTGAGGCCCAGCGGGAGGGCTGCTGGGCAGACCCTGTCCTATCTCCCTCCCTCCCAGTGGGGACTTCCAGCCTGCCGCAGGCGACCTCCCCCTGCACTGGCCAGAGCGCCGTGGGGGCTCCTCCCGCCCTTGCTGAGTCCCGACACCCTGTCCCCCTGAGCTGGGCTGTGGCCGCTTGTTTCCTGCCCCGTGGGTTCTGCACTCACGTGCGGCTTGTGACCGGGTAGGAGGAGGGTGGTCCCTGCGGGTGCAGGCGCAGATAAGGGGGCTGCCGGGCTGCAGTGGCTCCCGTCCGAGGCTCATCTCGCCCCAGCGGGCGCCCAGAGCCCTCATGCTGTGCACTGGACGTGTCCACTCTGCTGGGAGCTGGCCAGGGACAAGGGCTGCATGAGATGCAGGCGCGAGCTGGTGCCCCGGGACAAGAGGCTTCTCACCTGCACAGTTCAGAAGGCCGCATCAAGAGGCACCAGGCCCTAGCACGGCTGACCCAGGGCGGGGCAGGGATGGCGTACGGAGTCAGGGCTGCAGTCACGGGATTCTGTAACCAACCTGAAGGGACGCTTCTGGCCAAACAGGTCAGGATGAGTATCCATAAGAGCGAAGACTTAATCGATTGTAAACAAAATCCGCACACCCAGGTGATGCTGAGGAAGTTCCGTCCCTGCCGCCTGAGTGACAGAACAGGTGACAGACGGGAAGGACCTGGTGGCACCCAGCCTTCTCAGGAGGAAGTGGAGCCCATCCCAGGAAGGTCTTCAGGGGGAATTCCAGCCCGTGGACTGGCTGGGAGAAACGCTGGGAGCCACCTGTGCTGGGTGCAGCCTCCTGGAATGGCCATCATGGGGACAGGGAGCTTGACTGACGGGTGGGGAGCTGGGTGTGAGGGCCGCCGGCCGTGTGTCCCAAGCACTGCCTCATGCCTAGCCACGGAAGTCTGACCCACAGGAGCCACCAGCATGTCTATGGCTGTCCCCTCTCCACAAGCCACATGCAGGAGAGGAGGGCAGGGCTGTTTCAGACGAGTCCTCTGGGGAGGGACAGCCAGATGGGGTCCTGATTTACAGCCTGCTCTCTCTCGGTGGCTGGAGACCTTCGTTCCCGGTGGGGGCACATGTGTTTACATGTGTGATGCCGCAGCTCCCTCAAGCCGGCGGGGCAGAAGTAGACAGCTGCAGCCAAGCATGTTCACGCACCTGCCTGGGGAAGAGGACACTGCGAGGTGTGTCCTGCCTGGCGAGGTGGGCAGGCGGCCTCCACAGGGTGGGAACAGGATTCGGAAGGCGAGGGGGCCAGGACTGAGCTGCAGACACACGAGCCTGGTGAGGCATCCCAGGCCGTGAGGGGAAGGCGGAGGGCGAGACCAGGCCAAGAGTCCAAGATTGGAGACTGGGGGCTCTAGAGTCTCCGAGGGCGGGCAGGGTTGTTTGCGGCCCGCCCCGGGCCTGGGAGGTGGGGTCAGGCTGGTGAGGGGCGGGGCAGCGGTGGGAGAGGGCGGGGTCGCGGGTGGGGGCGAGGCCAGGTGCGCGGGGGGGCGGAGCAGCGATAGGAGGAGCGTGGGCCACGGGTGGAGGTGGGGGCCAGGCTGGTGAGGGGCGGGACAGCGATGGGTGGGGCGGGGCCAGGTGCGCGGGGGGCGGGGCAGCGATAGGAGGGGCGGGACCGCAGGAGGAGGCGGGGCCAAACTGTTGAGGGGCGGGGCAGCGATGAGAACGGGCGGGGCCGGGAGCGTGAGGGGCGGGCAGGTGCGGGCGCGCGGAGAAGTGGGCTGCGCCGCTGTCCGGCCAGCTGCCTGGCGCCCCAGCCTGCCCGCTGGGGCCCGTTTCTCCGGTCGGCGGCCAGCCCCGGGTCTCCGTCCTGTGCTCCAGGAGGCCGGCCCCGCGCCGGCTGCCGGGCCCCTGGCTGTTCAGATAGCGCATCGAGCCCCGCCAGGTCCAGTCCGGAGAGGAGCCCGGGACGCGGCGGGGACGCTGCCCGGCCGGCGCTAGAGGGCGCGCCTCGCCCGCGCTGCGCCGGTCCCGACCGGGACCGCCTCCCGGCTGTGGCCTTGCCCGCGCCCTCCGCGCTCTGGCCCTCCCTGGCCTCCTTGCCCTTCCCGCCGCTATCGCCGCGTGTCCTCCGAGCACTGGACACAAACACGGGGTCTCTGGCAGGCTGGAGAGGCTTGGGAGGGGCCGGAGGCGCTTTTACGAGTGGTCAGGCGTTGGGTGGCGCCGTTATCCAGAGGCAAGGCCCTGGCAGCCTCTCCTGGTCTCCAGAAAGAGGGTCCAAAAACCCCTCTCTTGAGAGGTGAGCTGAACACAGCGGTAAGGGGAGCAAGTTTCTTTGAAGCCAGAGTAAAAGTTCACAGTGCCCAGGGGCTGGTTTGTCCCTCAAGATGGTGGGACATGAGGGACAGAGGGGCACCAGGTCGCAAAGCAGGGGCGTGTGGGGGAGCGCCAGCCGGCCCTGGCCAGAGCTCAGTTCCAGGCAGGATGGGACTCCACACAGCCACCTGTCCCTGAAGCCACCCTAGCCTCCCCGCTGGGCACCACCGTTGCCTCCTCCAGGAAGCTTTCCCAGACTCATCCCCACCACTGCTGCATGGGTGTTCTGCTGTCTTGCTTCCCTCAGGCTCTGAAGTCTGCAGTAGGCGGGCCCAGATCCTGTTACTGGGCCTCAGCTCCCTGACTGACCAGCCAGAGTATTGGCATACAGTGCCTGCCGGAAGTTGTGCAGGGAGCGATGGTGTGGCCCAAGGGGGTGCCAGGCCTGGGATGGGGAGGGAAGCCAGTCAGGAGCAGGAGTGTGGCCAGGACTGTAGACTGTCGAGGCCCAGGACCTTGTTTACATGGGGTCCCATGGTGGGGTAGGGCACCCACCTAGAAGCCTCCCTCTCCCCAGCTGACTGGGTAAACAGACACAGGGGACAGGGTGGAGGCAGGGGGCCTTGGAACCAGCAACAAGTACCTGGATGTGACCCCCCAGAGTACCTGAAAACCATGAGCTCAGGACAGACAGGATGGCCAGGCCCAGCCTCTCCTCACTGCCCCTTCACACAAACACATCATCTGCATCCCCTGCCCCTGGAGACCCCAGACCAAGGCAGTGAAGACCACTGGTGATGAGGTTCTGCACTGCCAGTGGCAGGCCCCTGTGCCAGAGATCTGGGCTGGAAAGCCCTGGAGAGCGAGACCCAGGTGGCTGGTCCAGTCTGGAGGCCCCCACCCCTGCTGCAACCAGGGACCCCGCCCTCCTGCAGAGAGGACCTGGGAGCTGCCTGGGAGCCCAGGACGAGAGACAAGAAAGCACGGATCTGAACCAGGTGTCTGTTTATTTTTTGGAAAGCATGTCTGCCGGTTTGGCCCCCACAAGGCTGGGGTCCCTGAGAACAGAGACCACCCTGAGCCTGCTGACAAGCAGAGAACAGCCGCCCAAACTCAGGGCCGTTAACAGTACAAAAAGTAACAAAACTGAATCTGTGGCTTTCTCTCCCAAGCTTTGAAAGGTAGCAGTCCGGGCTATAAAAGTCTAGAAGCATTGCGTAAGAAGTGTTAAATCTACAGCAAATACATCTTGTAAAAACTCAATAAATTATATATATAGATATATATAAACTTGTAACATCTAATAACATCTGAACCTGCATGCAGGGGTGGCCCCCCCTGAAATTGCCTCCCTGCCTGGAACACATGGCAATTAGAAGAAATTGTATGAAAATACCAGCTTGCTTTGAAGTCTAAAAAAATAAATCTCCTAGAGAAAAATCCTATAGAAATCTACTTCTCCTGCAAAAGAAGGCCAAAGGGAATAAAATATCCTCATGGAATCATCTCAAACTATTAATGACCCTTTAGGGTGCCCGGGGGTTGGCTCCAGCCTTGGGGTGCGGGCTTGGAGGCACCCTCAGCAATCCCCTAAATGAAGCATAAACCTTTTCACTGTTAATAAGTTAAAACTTAAACCTCTGCCATGCAGCTGGCTAAACACTAGGGCCCTGGGGAGCGACGGGACATGGCTCTGGGTGTCGATAAATAGCTTTACAAATATACAGGTCCAAGGACAGAAAAGCCCCTCCCTACTCCGTGGTTTCTGTGTTTGTCTCAACAGCGAGTCCTGGGGGGCCTCCCCTGGCTAAGGGGCCCCCGCCCCCTGCCCCTGCCCCTTGCCCCCTCAGGGTCCCGAGCCTCAGTTGTACCCGCCTGCCTTTTCCCATATAGATATTTATATATATATGTATGTGTATATCATAGACACAGCATCTATTTATATAAATGTACACTCATTTCTGGAATAAACCTTTCAGATAGAAGTTAAAGGCTCCTGCCTTCAGGTACCCGTAATTTCAGTCTCTGGGGGGGCGGGGTGGGGAGTGGGGAGGCCTGGAGGTGGGGGACTGCTAACACCCCAGGCAGAAGGTGCCACTTGGCGGGGAGGTGCGCCACATGGGGGCTTCCCTGTAGGCTCAGCTTGGGCACTTGGAGGGGCCTTGACCCACTCTGGACACCGGAGCCTGGCCAGCCCCCCCCCCCCCCCCGCCCCGTGCTCCCTGTGGGGGACTGTGGGCGGGGCAGGGAGCTCGGGGAGGGGCCCAGCGCCTGTCCTGAGGGGTCCCGTGGGAGGAGCCCCTTACATTCTACGTTTGGTCCCCGGGTGCTGCCCGTCCAGGTGGCCAGGAGGTCACCAGACAGCAGGGCGAACACCCCAGGGACCCCAGAGCACATGCGTGTGTGCACGCGCGCCCACACACACGCGCACACACACACACGTGACGTTGCCTGTCCATCCGTCCACCTGTTCCAGGTCTTGGGCCCGGGCCGGCGGGACCCGGTGGGACCCGGTGATCACGGCATGCCAGCGGCAGCACGGTGGGCTGGGGTCTGTTCTCACATTGATGGGGGCTCGGCCGGCTGGCCGCAGCCCTTCACGTCCGCGAGCCCCCGCTGCCGGGTGGGGCCGGGGGCAGCAGGTCGTGAGCGAACACGGAGTCGTCCCCCGAGGAGCCAGAGCTGGGGGTGTCCTGGCCGCCTGGCGAGTACTGCTCGAAGGGCACCGATAGGTCCAGGTACTCCTGCGGGCGGCAGGCGGGCTGCGGTCAGCGCGGCCCCTCCGCACGGGAGCCATCGCGGGGCGGGGCGGGGCGGGGCGGGGCCACTCACGTCGGTGGACGTCACGGTGAGCACGCGGTCCAGGTCCTCCACCAGCTGCTTGAAAGTGGGCCTCTGCGAGGGCGCAGCGTGCCAGCACTCACGCATGATCATGTACCTGGGGGACACTCAGGTCGGCCCCGCCCTGTGCTCACCAGCGCCCCGCCCTCGGGGCTGGCCTCCCCCTCCCCAGCGCACTCACAGATCATGCGTGCAGTTGGCCGGCTTGTCCATGCGGTGGCCTTCCTTCAGCAGCTTGAAGAGCTCCTCCACGGGGATGCCGGGGTACGGCGAGCCCCCCAGCGTGAAGATCTCCCAGAGGAGGACCCCGAAGGACCAGCTGTGGGTGGTGGGGGGCGCGGCCGCGTCAGCCCCGGAACAGACCCCACCGGAGCGCAGGGCTCAGCCAAGGGGACTGCCCCCAAGACCTCCCGGGTGCCTGCCCCCAGCGGCCTGTCCGCCACTCCCCGCCCACGCCCCTGCCAAGTTTGGGGCCACATACACGTCACTTTGGTGGGTGTAGACGCGGTCAAACAAGGCCTCGGGTGCCATCCACTTCACGGGCAGGCGGCCCTGGGGGGAGGAAGGGGGCGTGTTGGCTGCCAGGCGCCCTCCTGGCTCAAGAGCCCCCCACCTCCCCGGGCTGAGCTCACGTTGGTGGTCTTCTTGTAGTAGTCGAGGTTGTGCACGTCACGGGCCAGGCCGAAGTCGGCGATTTTCATCACGTTGTCCTCGGTCACCAGCACGTTGCGGGCCGCCAGGTCCCTATGGATGCACTGGGGGTGGAGGGCGCGGGTTTGAGCCGGTCCCACGGCCTCTCCAACCCCCGCTCCCTGTCCCCCCACCCCCCGGTCCCGCTCACCTTCTGCGAGGCCAGGTACTCCATGCCCCGCGCCACCTGGTAGGCGCAGGACACCAGGTCTTTGAAGGTGAGCTGCTCCTCGGGCAGCCGGCAGGTGTCGAAGGAGTAGTCAGTGCCCGGGGGCCGCCGCGCCCTTAGGTATTCCCGCAGGTTGCCCTTGGCCGCGTACTCCACCAGCACGTACAGGGGCCCTGGGGGTGCGGGCGGCTCAGAGGGGCCACCTGGGCCCCCCACCGCCCCGCCCCCGCGCGGCCCCGCCCCCGGCCCTCACCGCCCCAGGGCAGTCTATGCCCACCGCTCGGCATGAAGCCCCACCCACCGCCCTGCGTGCGGCCCCGCCCACGACCCTCCCGGCCCGGAGTGCAGACCCCGCCCATCGCCCCGCCTGCAGACCCCCGCCCCGCCCGCAGGCCTGGGCTCTCACCGCCCTGCGTGCAGGCGCCCAGCAGGTTGATAATGTTCTTGTGTTTTCCGATCATCTTCATCATCTCCATCTCGGACACCAGGTCCGATAAGTCCTTATCCGTGGCGTCATCTGTGTGGGGATGGGCAGCGGGGTCAGGCAAGGCCATCCAGCCTGGCACGGGCCCCCTCGCCACATCCCCACCCAACCATCACCTTTCAGCATCTTCACCGCCACCGTGACGGGTTTGGCAGCTCGGTCCTTGTCGATGCCAATGGCCTCTGCCATGACCACCTGGCCAAAGCAGCCCTCCCCGAGAGGCTTGCCCAGGGTCAGCCTGGTAGCAGAAGCAGAGAGGCCATGAGCACACTGGCCTGCCTGAGGTCCTATCCCAGGCAGCCTGAGGTCAGTGCCGCCGCCTCCAGGAAGCCCTCCACACCCGCCCCGGCAGCCCTGCTAATGTTGATAAAGGACACTACCCCGTGACCTCTGGACCGTGAGGTCACTTTTCCGAGAGTGGGTCCCCCCTCACCCATCTCAAGAGGGGGCATCCAGCCCCATATAGGCCTACCTGACTCCCATCTGAATTCAGTCAGGCCCGAGTGGGAACCCCTCCCCGCCGTGGGACCCCCACCCTCTGTGCCCCAACACCCCCCAGCGGGTCAGGGTCCCAGGCCTGCGCACACCACTGACCGGGCCCGGGACAGCTCCCACTTGGGGTCGGCGGGCAGCTCGAGCTCAGAGACGTTGGCCAGGGTGGGGCCCTCGCCCGAGGACAGCCGGGCGATGCGCACCAGCGGTGTGTTGGAGCTCATGGACGAACTGGATTCCAAGGACACCTGCTGGGTCGGCAGGGGCAGGTTGGTGCCGCGGGGCCGGGCAGCCAGGACCCAGAGTGTGGTGCCCACAGACCGCGTGCCGGGCGGGGCCTGGCTTCTGCGTGGTGCCAAGCGGAGGTTTTTAACACGTCTTGCACCAGAGTAACCCAGCTCTGCGGGGTGACTGTGAAGACGGGGAGGGCTCGGCCTACACCCCGACGTCCTCAGACTCCACAGAGGGGATGCGCCTGGGGACCGGGGCAGCGGGCCGGGCAAGGGCACGGGTGGGCTCGGAACCTGGTATCTACTTTCTGTTACCTGTCGCTTGAGCGGAAAGCGGGAGACCTTGTGCACTGCGGGCGAGCCCAGGCCCTTCTTGGGTGGGCTCCTCAGGCGGTAGAGCGTCACGGCGGCCACGGCCAGGATGAAGAGGAGGAAGCCCAGCCCGTAGCTGAGGACGCCCGCAAACACGCCGCCAGCCTCACCGGCCTCCACCAGCTCCTCCTCAGCTGCAAAGACACAGGAGTCGGTGGCCTGGCCCAGCGTCGCAGGAGCCTGCGCGTTGCCCAGGGCCAGAGCTGTGGGCATGGTTGGGGGGGGGCCCAGGACGGGGTACAGGCCCTGCCCCTGGCGGGGTAGGGGGAGTGCCAGGCCTCGTTGAGTCTTCAGCAGCCAGAAGTGCGCAGGCCACGAGGAGCAGACAGACCCAGGAGAGAACAGAGCCCAGCAGAGCCAGCAGCACCCTCATCCGCCACCCGAGAGACGCCAGCACCACCACGTGAGCTGCCAGGGACCCCACTGGGCCGGGGCACTGTGGGGGGGGAAGGCCCATCTGGGCCGAGACAGGGCCCGGTGGACTCTGCCCGCAGGCCAGGTGTGGAACCCGGCCGGCGGGCTCTCCGGTCCCCTGGCCTCCCCGGCGGCACTGGCGTGTCCTGAGCCCCTAGAGGACAGAGCGAGAGCGGCAGAAGCTGGTACCTGGCAGCACCACCAGCCACGCAGAGTGATGGGAAAACCCGATAGAATTGCCCGCCAGACACGTGTACTCCCCCGCGTCCTCAAAGGTGACATTGCGCAAGGATAGAACCTCTAGCTCCTTGTCGGTGGTGTTAGCGCCCGCCGTCTACAAAGAGAGAACACAGCGCGATAGGAGAGCGCCAAGAGCTGCCCGCGGGCACCGCAGCCAGAGTCCACTCGGCGCCGATCCGGCCAGGCTGCAAGGAAAACGCCGCCACCGCCACCGCAATCGCGGCCCCCGCGGCCGAGCGGCCTCTGCCCCGCGCGTCCACACCGAGCCCGAAGCCAGTCCCTCCACCGGCGAGTCCTCTGTCCCAAGTGAGCCAGACGTGTTGGCCGTCAGCACAGCAGGCGGGGTGAGCGTGCACCGGGGGAGGGGGCCAGGCGGGGGTCGGGGACCAGGCAGCCGGCAGGGCCGGGCAGAAGTGAGTAGCCGTGGGAGCCGGGGCCAGAGAGAGAGGAGGGGACAGAGAGACGGACAGACAGAGGGAGAGGGCGCGCGTGCTAGAGCAGCTGAAGGTGGGCTATCGGGCCTGGACATCTGGGGCACACAGGGTGCAGGCAGGTCAGCACGGGCTATGGGGGTTCAGAGCAGGCGGTCACAACGGAGGCCGGGGGGGGGTTAAGGTGCAGAGGCGGCCACGCTGGGAGCAGAGTGTGAGCCGGGGTTGGGGGGCAGGAGTGGTGGGGCGTGCAGGTGGGCACAGGGCCAGGGCATCGGAGCTGGAGCTCGGCGTGCCAGGCAGGCGTGGGACAGAGCTGTTACCTGCTGGGGGCCCGTGAACACGCAGCCAAAAGGCCTTCTCAGCCACGCCTATGAAATTGGAGGCTCGACAGAGGTACTCGCCCCCGTCACGCTCGGACACATTGGCCAGGCGGAGGCGCGCGTCGGCCTCCGCACTCTCACTGATCCACGACTGCGGGGACAAGAGACCCGGCTCAGGCGCGGGGGCCCCGCCGGACACGCGGGCGTGACTGCCGAGGAGCTGGCCCTCGCCCGCACCGAGGAACGGGTGGGCAGACCGGGCGGCGCCAGCCAGGTGGGCTGCCTGGAGGAGGTGTGGAGACACCTCGCAGCGGGCGCTGTGCTTGCACTGGACACAGCTGCCTGTCACGCACCCCCGCTGCCCACTGACCCTCAGAGAGGCCCTCCGCGGGGCGCTCAGACCGCCCGCCCCTGGGGTCCCAGCTGTGCCGCTGCCAGGCCTGCGAGCTCTGGGCACCGCCCCGCCCCTAGTCTGCACCCCGTCCTGTCTCTCAGCCCCATGGTGTGTCTTTAACAGATGTCTCTCTTTGGGCGGCAGATGTCGCAATCACCCAACTCGGGTGGCCCCCACTCTGGGTCCGTGGGAACCGAGCGGACACAGCCCTGCCCTGAGGACCCAGGGAGGCGCCTGCAGGCAGCGGAGAGCCCCGCTCTGGGTCTGCAGGCTACTTCGGACAGACACCGCCCCCCAGGCCCACCCTGCTGGGTCTCGCCCAGGCTCAGCGCCTGTGTTCCCACCCCGGGCCGGACAGGCCTCCTGCCTGGGATGCCCTCCCCACCCGGCCAGCTGGCGGTGGTGCCCACCTTGAGCACGGTGACGTAGGGTGTGCCGTCGGGCCCCACCTTGCTGCCGTTCACCTCCACGTGCTTGAGCCACTGGATGTGGGGCTGGGCGTCGCTGTAGACCTTGCAGTGGAACTCCACGTCGCTGCCCAGCACGGCGGTCTGGTTGGCGGGCAGCCCCGCCTGCAGGATGGGCCGGTGCGGAGAGCGCTCTGTGGGGCGGGGAGGGCTTCAGAGGCGGCCTGCACGCGCCGCCTGGGCCTACCCCCCCCAGCGCCCGCGCTTGGGGCCTCACCCAGCACGTCCAGGGTGTAGGTCTGCTGGATTCTGCCGAACTTGTTCTCCACGATGCACGTGTAGTTGCCGCGGTCCGAGGGTACCACGCTCTCCATGACCAGGCTCCACTGCTGGTGCCGCAGCTGCAGGTGGACTCGGGTGAGCGGATGGCCCGCCCCCCACCCCCACCCCGAGGCCCCCGCGCCCCCACCCCCCGTGGGCCCACCTTGATGCCCCCGATGCGGTGCTCGCCCCGGAACTCCTTGCCGTTCTTCAGCCAGGTGATGGATGGCGTGGGGTTGCCGGCAGCCGGGCAGCGAAAACGAACAGTGTTGGCGGCCGGCACCGCTAGCAGCTTCTTGTCCATCCGCTCGGGCCGCGTCCAGTAAGGGGCCCCTGCTGTCGGGGGAGGGAGGGAAGGCTGTAACCGGGCTAGGGGTGGGCAGAAGCTTGCCTGTCCCCCTCCGGCCTGTTTCCCACTTGCGGAGGGGATGTCAGCCTTTTGAAGACCCCTGCCCAGGGCTGGAGGAGCTTCCAGTAGCCTGAATGCCACTTCTGGGCACGCCCAAAGCCAGGTCCCCTCACCTCCCTCAAACACCAGCTCCAGTCGGGGGGGTCCAGGGTGCCACACCGTGCCCCAGGACGCAGTGGTGTCTCGGGGATCTCCACCCACCCAGGCAGGCCCATCAGGGCGGGCTCACCGACTGGCAGAGGGACCAGGGCACGGCAGGTGAGGAAGCCCAGCTTGATGGATGAGCAATGCCCAGCCACCCAGAGAACCTGGAGCCCTGTGATCGGCCGGGCGCCCGCGGGCATCTGCGAGACCCCAGGCCACACTCTGCCCCGTGGGTGACAGGACGTCCGGGAGGTCCTGCTCCCCTCCCTGCTTTCCGGGACTGTCCACCCCCACCCTCACGGCCCAGCTGGTTTTTCTCCTTTGGGGCTGGGCTGGGGAGGCCGGGCAGGCATCCCCCAGGAGGCAGGCAGCCCCACCAGCGGCCCGCTGGGTGTGCTGCGGCCACGGTGCAAGACCACACCCCCCAGAGTGGGCGGGACCCACAGGGGTGGAGGGAGAAGACGGACAGGGCGCCCGCTGGGTCCCCTCATCCCCGCCCTGCATCTCGTGGCATTGCAAACTCAGCTCCTCCAAAAGCAGACAGCCCACGTCCCCAGACCGGCCTCTCCACAGCAGGCAAAGCCCCGGCCACTTGCTGTTCCAGGCCCAGGTACCTGGGCACTGTCACCCACAGGCTGTCACCAGGAACTACCGCGGGCAGCCCCTTCCCAGTAAACGCGTCTGACACCCACGGCCACGCTGGCACTCAGACAGCCTGACACCCAGAGATACCCCAACACCCACGGCCACCCCCTTTCTCCTGCCTAGGCTATCCCAGGTGCCTCCTGTTTGCCTGAGCCCCTGACTGCTGCCCCTACCCCGGTTCACACGCACGTGGGAGTGACCACAAGCCTCGCTCCCCCAGCCCTGGCCACGCCAGCCCCCCAGGTGCTCCTGGAACCCCGGCCCCTGGCCCTGCAGCAGTGTGCACCCCACCCCTCACCTGCCCCAGAGCCCAGGGGTGGGCACCCACTGCCCCACACAGGTGGAACCCCGCGGAGGTGGTCCCAGGGCCCCGGTCTCACGCCTGCCTGCCGAGCAGGGGCCCAGTGCCTGGGGCGGGCGGGGCTGGGCCCCGGTGGGAAGGCAGGTCCCCACCCGGGCAGCCCCACACGCCTGGAGCCTGGTCTCACCTGTGTCCTCGGCCTCGTCGTCCCCATCTTCGTCGTCCCCCGAGGATGGGGCGTCTGTAAGGCAGGCAAGAGGGCGATGCGGGAAGCGGCCTGCAGCCAGGCAGGGCCCTCACCGGGCCGGGCTTCCCCGTGCCGCCCCCCACTGGGAGCACCGCGCCCTGGCCACTACCTGCCACGCGCACGCTGAAGAGGCACAGCACCCGCTGGGAGAGGCGCTGGCGGCAGCTGTAGGCCCCGGCGTCTTCGTGGGAGGCGTTGAGCACCTGCAGCCGCTGTGGGCCCACCAGGACGCGGTCCGAGGGCGCCAGGCCCACACCGTCCTTCACCCAGATGGTGGGCTCCGTGGGCGCCCCCGCCGGCAAGCGGCAGCTCAGCTCCACGGTGTCCCCACTGCCAAAGGCCCGCTCCTGCGGGCTGGGCTCGGGGCCCGGGACCTCTGCGGGCGAGATGGGGGTTGAGGCGGGTGTCCCACGCAGCACTGGACGTGCTGGGCCGTCTGGGGCCTGGAGGCAGGGACTGGGGAGGCGGTCCTGCCAGCCGTCCCGTAGGGCGGGCCGGGGCAGGGGCGACTGTCAGCGGTGCCAGGGCCGACTCTCCTATGTTGGAGACGCAAGGAGACAGGTGGGGGGGCCACACCAGTCAAACGCGTGGACACGGGACACTCCAGAGTGTCGTGAAGCATTTCTCCTGCTTTTTTTCCAACCACTTGGAAATGTTTAAGATCCACGCTGACCTCACAGGGAGCAGCACTGTGGGAGGTGGGCGCATGCGTGCCCAACCTCGTGGGGACATCAGGGGGGGAGGACACGGGGAAGGGACAAGGCCACTCATCCCAGGAGGGGGTGCCACCCACCCTGGGACCTGAGAACAGATACTGCCCAGCATACAACGGAGCACCCCAAACTTCCCAGAACGGCTGGGGCTGAGACAGGAAAGGCCGGCCTGGAGTGGAGGCCCTCGGGGGCCTCAACAGCCTACACGCGGACTCAGAAGGGAGTGTCTTAGACCTAAACTAGCCTTGGCAGTGAGCACCAGGAAAGGGGTCAGAAATGCACGCATGTGTGGTGCCGAGTCTGGACGGTGGGGTGAGGGGACCGAGGACCCCACGTTACAGACGGGGACGCGGGTGGGAGGAGGAGGAGGGCTCCAGGCTCGGCCGGCGGAGGGCCCCCAGGCCAGGCGGGCAGCCCCGGCCCACCTCCCCCGCAGGTGCCGAGAAGCTGGGCTGGAGGGTCCTTGCAGATGTCCGCTAGGCCCCTGGGCCCTCCCGCTGCCCATTGCCCGCCCAGATCCCAAGGGGCCCACAAGGCCTGAGACCCAGGGGCTGACAGCCCGTCCAGGTCTAGCTGCCAGGGCCGGACAATGCCTGGCAGCCTGGGCTTCGGGCCCAGGACAGGGCTGGGTGGTCCCGCCGTGCAGACCCAGCTGGGTTCGCCGCACCCTTACTTGTCATTCTGCTGATGCATGGCCTAGATTCGAGGCCCAGCTGCCCACTCTGGCCACGCCAGCTCCCCAGACAGGCCCTGCTCAGCCTGCCCACCTCGGGAGGCCCACCGGCTCAGGGCCCACCAGGGGGGTCCCTCAACCATCTACAGTGTCTGCATCCCCTGGGCCCCCAGTCAGGGGCTCCCGGCCTGACAGGCAACCCCCAGCCCCAGCGATGGCGTCGTGTGGGGACCACCCAGGGCTGGGAGCCGGCTGAGGCCCCCCAGAAGGCCAAGAACAGGCTAGCTGTGGCCGCCTCGGCCTCAGGCCCCAGCCCAAGGGCAACAGCAGTTGGTTCCGGTTTGGTCTGGGAGGCGACGGCAGGTCAAGCCACCCGCACAAGTATCCGCTTCAACCCGGTCCAGCAGGGGCAGGGAGGACTCAGAACGGACCCCAGGCCAGACTCGCCTGCAGCCATCACCGGTGGGGGGGTGGGGAGAGGTGGGGCCTGGACCTGGCCGACGGATGACCTCTGACCTGCCCACCACCCTGCCCCACCAGATGGCCGCAGACCCGGGCGGGGACACCAGTGGCATCACTCCTTCCTGCAGGTCCAGTCCACCAGGCCTGCCCTGCACCAGGGGGGCCCCGGGGAGACCGGGAAGGGCCAAGTGGGTGGTCAGGCAAGGAACAGCGTGATGGACGGGGCGCAGTGGGCGCTCTGCCTCGGGGGTGGGGGGCCACATGCCGTGGGCTGCCCAGCCTCCTGTCCCAGGGGCCTCGGGAAAAGCCTTCCTTGAGCCACACAAGGGGGTCCTCCCACACCCGCAGAGCCACCAGGGCCACACCTGGTGTACGACAAATGTCCTCTGTGCCTGGTGGGTGCCCAAGTGCCACGTGCCAGCATCTGTCCCCGAGAGTCCACAGCACCTGCTCCCGCCTGCACCCCCAAAGACTAAGCTCAGTGAGGGGCGCCAAGGGGTACCGTGCCCTGGAGGAGCCACGCCAGGCCCTCCTCTGGCCCTGTCTCCCAGGACAGAATCCCCAACCCGTGACTCAGTATCCCCCACTGTCAGAACAGGGAGACCACCCAAGTAGGAGACTCAAGACCCATTCTGCCCTGGGGCTCTGCTCCAGGGCTGCTGTCCACCCAGCCAGAGCTGGAGCCCGTCTGTGGGGCAGGCGGCGACCTCTACCGGGGGGACGTGCTCCTGGTTCGGGGTCGCTGCAGGCTTGGAGTCACTACCGTCGTTCAGTTGCTCACTCCAGTCTGGCTCTTTGCGGCCCCAAGGACTGCAGCATGTCAGGCTCCTCTGTCCTTCACCATCTCCTGGAGTTTGCTCAAACTCACGTGCTACGGTTCACTCATTCACTACAGCTGAGGCCCCCTCAATGCATGGGGGGTGTGCCCGGGTCAGGGGAGACCAGCAGAACAAGGATCGAATTCAGACCGGACTCAAAGGAATCCCCTGGAGCCGCTGGAAGAGCCTCCGACCTTGGACACATGAGGCTCTCCGCCGCCAGGTACATGCTTTAAACATCCCGGAGGATGACCCACAGGGACCCTGAGGTCGGGGTCTCCCCCTCACCCCACCCGGAGAGAATCTGAAAGGTTTGGTAACAGAGTTAGAAAAAGAAAGGGGTGGGATTCGGAGGCCTGACTAATTCGGAGGCTAATGAGGGTTTACAGGATTATTCAGCCTAATCCTCCTACAACTGGCCACCAGGACTCCTGGATGGGCAAGGAAACTGAGGCTGCAGGCAAGCACCCGGACCTGGGGCAGGCAGCCAGTCCCTGGGGGCCCAGCAGGGCCTGGGGTTAAGGATCCGCCCCCCCCAAAGAGGCTCACCACCACAAGCCTGCGTTCACTTGTAAATCACTCAGGCCAGCCAGGCCACCCCCGCCCCCAAACCGCTGCCTGGGCACTGCATCCCCACCTCCTCAATGAGACCCTGGCTCCTCTCTGGGCCCAACTGTAAAATGGGGTGTGCTGGGCCACAGATAGGGCCCCAAGTGGGACTTGAGGGCCTGGGGGGGAGGGCGGGGACGCTCCCCAGCTCGATGCAGGTGCTCAGAGGCCAGAAGTCCAGCCTCGGGCTCAGCCCAGGTTAATGAACCACCCAGAGGCCCGTGGGGCTCAAAGTCCAGCTCTGCCGAGGAGCAGGCAGGGGAGGCTGCCACCAGGGCCTTCCTGAGACGTGCCCGGCGCCCCCAGGGACCCGTCCTGGCCGGGTGGATCCCCTGCAACCTCCCTGCCGGGTAGGGGCCCCTGCCCAGTCCCTCTCTGAGAACGTGGCTCCACGTGGAGAGGAAGCTCCCGGGGTGGCCGGGTGGTCCTGCCGTGGACACCTCCTCCACTGTCCTTGACCTCTGCCAGCTCCAGCGCCATAACTTACGCTCCCTGGGAGAGAGCCAGGCTGGGACCTTTGTCAATTTCACGAAGCCTCGCAGCTCCTTCAGGAACCGGATTAAGTTTATTGATCTTTCAACTGGCTACCTGTTTCGCCAACTTTCCTGCGGAGGCCGGGCCCGGTCCTCAGTCTTCCTACCCCAGGCCTGCATCTGGTGGGGACGCCGGCAGTCCCTTAAAGCGGGGCGGGGGTCGGGGGACCCGCTGCCCGTCCCCCCCAACCCCCCCCCACCCTGCGCCGCAGGGGATCCAGGAGGCCTGGGCCCCGCCCCCCGCCCCTTCCCCGGGGCTAGTTGACGTTCCCCAGCCGGAGGGAGTAATATCTCTATCCGAATGCGAATGCTAATTCGGGCCCCCTCCCCGCGGCCGCCTATTCGGCGCCCCGGGACGCGCGGGCCGCCCTAGCCGGCGCTGAAAGCGCGCGCTGACCTCCGGACGGCCTCTGTCACGCTGCTCAGTGACACGCACATTCAAGCGCAGGGCCCGCTTTCATTCATAAAAAATGACATTGTTCCGGGAGGCCGCCGCCGCCGCCGCCGCAGGAAGGGGCGCGGGGGGCGCGGGGAGGGGCGGGCCGCCATCTGCCTGCGTCCAGCCCGCGGCCGCCGCCTCCCTGGCACCGCGCGCCCGCAGCCGCCCGGCTCACACCTCCCCGCGAGGCCGGGCCGCCATCAATGCGCGTCTGTGGCCGCGCCGAGGTACAAAGGAGCGGCTGTTCGGGTCCCGCCCGGGTGGGGCGTGAGCTCACCGGGCGAAGGCCTCCCTCCGCGCGGCCGCCCGGCCGGGCCGGGGGTGCGCGCAGCCCCTCGCACGCGCCGACCCTCTCCAGCGCCCCAAAGTCGTCGGTCTCCAGAGGGGCGGGCTCCCTACGGCCGCCCCCCGGGCCTCCCCTCTCTGCCCGGCAGCCACCGGGAGCCTGACAGAGCGCGTGCCGGGCGTGGGCACACGGAGCGCTCGGCCGGGGGGCGGTGCGCGCTTGCACCTCGGGGGTCCGGCGCCAAGACGCGCTCCATACCCTCTGCTGCCCGCGCCCCACGGGCTCTCCTCGCCGACTCTCGACGTCCCGCCGAACCCTGGTCGCCAGAGGGGGACCACAGCCCCACGCCGCTGGGGCATTCGCGCTAACCACTTCCCAGCCCGGCCTGGCGCTCGGAGCGCGCCCCAGGGGGACAGTTATCTTAACTCCTGGAGTGTGAGAGCTGGGAGGAGGGGAACGGAGGCACTAGAAGGTGTCACCTGGTCGTGCAGGCCACCGAGGGGCTGGGGCCCAGCCGCGGGCTGACGCACTTTCATACCCTCCCTTCAAAGTCCAGAGTCTGCTTTGGCTGCAGCTGGCCATGAACTGGGGCCCGAAGGGGGCTGGGGCAGGGGCGTCAACAGCAGGAACTTTCTGTCAGTTCGGACCCCGCAGAACAATGGGAATCGTGGAAACGCAGCCCCCAAGCCCTCCCAACCGCGCCCGGGGGGCAGGCTACGCCCGGCTGGGGAGCCGCGGGGGGCAGGGAGCGCGGATGCCACCGCGGTGCCCAGCTCGCCGCCACAGCCTCGTACTTGGGTGGCAGCCCTGCGGCTCCAGGCGCCCCACAAACTGCCGCGCCAGCTCTGGCCCCGATCCCCGGGGAGGGCGGGCGGCAGAAACCCGGACGCCGGCCCCGCGATGCCAGCGCAGAGCGCGCCCTGGGGCCCACTCAAACATCCAACGCCCCACACCCACCTCGGCGCCGGTTCCCCGGCCCCGCCGCCGCCGCCCGCCGGGTCCCCGCCGCGTACCTGTCGCTCTCCGCGCGACGCGGGGCTCCACGCCCGGGGAACCGAGGACGGCGCCGGTCATGACCGCCACTGCCACGCAAAACGCGAGGACGCGAGCCGGGGCGCCCATCGCGGGGGTGGGGGGTGCGGCGTCCTCAGGCGGCGCGCGCCAGCATGCTGCCCCCCATGGCCCGGCCCTAGCACCGGCGGGAGGAGGGCGCCGCTGCGGAATCTGCGGGAGGAAGCAGGCAGCTCGTTAAGCGGGCGGGCCGGGGAGCTCAGGGGCGGAGGCGGCGGTGGCCGGGCTCCTGCGCCCCGGCCCCTCCGATCCCCGGCCGCCCCGCCCGCCCGCCGCCGCCGCCGCCGCCGCCCAGGGCTCCCGGGCCGCCTGGCGCCGGCCGCCGCCTCCCCACCGCGGTCCCTCCTCCCCCTTCCCTCCCTGGCTGCTGCAGAGCCCTCCCAGGGCGGCGGCGGCGGCAAACTTTCCAGAGCGGGAAGCCCGCGCCCCGGCCGGGCCCCGCCGCAGACACCGCTTGGGATCCGAGCCCGCCGCGCGCTCCGGACCCCTCGCGCCCGCCCGGTCCCAACGCACCGACCTGGCGGCCCCGGGCGCCCGACTCGCTGAGCGCGGCTCCCGATCGCGCCCGCCGCGCGCCGGCCCAGCGCCTGCGCCTCGTCCCTCCTCCCGGCCGCCCGGGCTCAGCTCGGTGCGCCCGGCCGAGCTGGACCGCGCGGCGTCAGCTGCCCGCGCCGCCGCCGCCGCCGCCGCCACCGCGCACTGAGCCCGGGCGGCCGGGCGCGCGGCAGCCAGTGGGGGCCGGCCCGCTCCCGCCCCGCCCCGCCCCGCCCCGCCCCGGCCACGCCCGCCCCGGCTCGCGGGGCGCGGGGACACGCCCCTCCCCTGGGGCGGTCCGGGGGCGGGGCCGCGGCCGGCCTAGCCCCTGCCCGCCGAGGGGATTAGAGAAGGCGGGGCGGGGCGGGGGCGCCCGGCGGTCTCGGAGGGCGTGGGAGCCGGCTCCTCCGCGAGGCCCCCAGTCGCACCGTCGGGCCCCCCAGCGCCGTGCGGGCGCACAGAGAGGCCCAGCGCGCTGTCCCGGTGACTAGCGGGCCGCTGACCAGGGGCTCAGGCCTGGGGAAGGCTGGGTGGGGAGGGGACGTAGGAAGGGGTGGTCTCTGCGGGTGAGACTTGTCAGGGAGGCTTCACCGCACAGGCTAGGTCCCGGGGCGGGCGTGAGCAGCCCAGAAAGCCCGGGACCAAGGCCAGTTGGGCCTGCCCGCCTGGGGTTGGGATGCTAGGGGCCTGCACTCCCGGGAGCTGGGGGGCCTGGTGCTGCATTTATGAAGCGCCTGCTGCATTCGCGCAGAGCTCAGCTGCCTGAGTTCCTGGCCAGAGAGGCTCACCCAGGCACACTCCACCCCAGGGAGAAGTTTGGAGACAGGGTGCTTGCTGCGCATGAGAATGGAGAGAGGGGACTGGATGGCCCTGGGTGCAGGACCCTGACTCTGGGGCTCTGAGGAAGGCCGCGGTGGGGGGCTGGTGGCAAAGCCTGAGATGCCTGGAGTGGGGGGAGGGGGGCCTGGGGCAAGTAAGGCAGGAGGGACCCGAAGGAGCCAGACTGGAGAGGGTGACCCCTGGGCCTGGCTCTGGGTCCCCCAGCCAAGCGCCTCTGGCTTCTCAGACTCTGTGTGCTCATCAGCAAATTGGTCGAGGAGAGTGTCTCTGACCTGCTGCTCCGGCCACCCCGCTGTTCCAGGTGAGCCTGGAGACACCCCAGCCTTTGGGGCTAGGGGGACCCTGAAGTGTCACAGGGAAAAGTCAAGTCTGACTCTATGTCGGAACTATTTCTTTGACTTTTTTTTCCATTCCTTTTTCTTTTTATTATAATCATACAGAATGGCCTGCCTTGGAGAATCCTGCCCCTCTCCCTGTTAAAAGGTGCCTTGGTTCAGAACCGTGTTCACCTTCCTCCAGATGGCAGGGAGGAAGAAATCAACACATCACCCTGCCTAAGGCTTGCTGTTCTAGGAGGTATTTGCAATGTTCATGGACTTTTTCCTTTGTTGCCTCACCTCCCCTCATCCCTGATCTGTAAAAGAAGCTGGCATCCAGACCCCAATAAGGTAGTTATTGTGAGACATTAGTCTGCCGCCTTCTCAGTCATCTGGCTCTCAACCTCTTGTCTCTGGTTCACTGGCCTGCCGCGTGGCGAGCAGCGTGAGCTTGGACTTGCTGACAGAAGGGCCCACTGCTCTGTGCCCACCCGACAGATCGGCGCCTCTGCCGTGTGCCGCCTTGGTTGCTGGCTCTGGTCAAGCCCACGTCCCCCAGACTGGGCAGGGGCACCATCCGCTTCCGTGTGGGTCTGGCTGGTGGGCAGTGCTAGCAGAGAGGGCACTCCCACGGTGCCCCCAGAGTGGTCCGTGAGCCCCCGCTTCCTCCAGCGAAGGGTCCTGGTTAACCTCTGGGTGCTTCACACCCTGGATTCCCTTCCCAGGGCTGCTGCACAAATTCCCACAAATCGGTTGAGTGAAATTTAGTCTCTCCCAGTTCTAGGGGCCAACAGTCTGAAATCAAGGTGTCAGTGGGGCTGTCCCCCTGCCACACATTCCCCAGCCCCATCTCAGACTCTAGGGGAGGGCCCTTCCCGCCTCTTCCTGCCGCTGGTTGTTCCTGGCTGTCCTTGGCTTGTGGCTGCATCCACCCCAGTGTCTCCCTCCATAGCCACGTGGTTTTTCTTCTGTTATATAAGGACACTTGTCTTTGGATGTAGGGCCACCCAGATCATCCAGGCTGATCTCTTGATCTCATGAGCTTAATTTAACGACTGCAAGACTGTTTTTCCAAATAAGGTCGCATTCCCAGGCTCCAGGAGTGGATCTCCCTTTTGGAGGCCCCATCCTGCCCCTCATCACACACCCTCCCCCCACAGTGGCTGGTCTCTTTGGTGCTGCCAAAGGTTTGAAGTGGTCCCTCCACTGCAGCCTGTCTCCGGCGGCACCGTAGGGTGGCATCTGGGTCAGGGTTCAGGAGCATTTTCACGGCTCTTGGCAGCGGACTCTGCCAAATTGCTTCCAGAGGGTCTGACGGTGCCTCTTGCAGCCCCGGAGGAGTTGCTGCCCCCTTGGCCCCACCCTTGCCACCAGGGGAGGGCACTGCTCAAAGGCATTTTATTATTCTTGACAAAATAATTTTATTTGTTTACAATTATTGTTTCCAAGTCAGCACGTTCAGCTGGAGGAAGCTGTCCCACGGGGCCTTCCCCAGACGGCGGGCGGGCCCGTGGTTCACAGGCCCCTGTGCTGATTCCCCCGGGGTGGGCGATGCCCCTGGTAGCCGGGGTTTCATCACAGCCCCTGATGGGGCATCTCCTCCAAGATCCCCTGCAGCTCCGCCAGGCTGAGTCCTCCCAGCACCCCATGTGGTGGGTGCTCCCCAGGCCCCCTGGAGCCCAGGGCTTACAGTTGACCCCTCCCTGCCCGCTCCCCACCCCAAACACCGACCCCACCTCCCAGGGCCCACAGCACAGGGAAGGAAGGTGGGTGTGGATGCTGAGGGCAGCCGGGCCCAGCCCAGCCCGGTGGGTGAGTCAGAGCTGGGCGGCCCTGCGTGCCGGGGCTTGTGCAGGTGAGCAGGCCGCCCTGGGCCCCAGGTGAGGACCCCAGCGGGCTGTAAGCACCCCCCCCACCCTTCCTCACCCCCTGGCCCGGCCTGGGCCCACACTGGGTTCACAGCGCCAAGGTGCACTCAGCTCAGGGGAGTTTCAGCCTCTGCCCCACCTGCATCCACAGTGCTCCTGCCCGCTGCGGCCACCGCGGTGCCCGACGGGCACCTGTCAAGGCCAGCGCTGAGCCAGGGGCTCAGGACAGGGGTGCCCCAGCCAGAGCCTCCCGATCAGCCTCCTGAGGGACTGAGGCCCAGGGAGGGGCTGCCATGGGCTCGGGGCCGGGCTGGGGGAGACCGAGGCCCCGGGGCGGCCTCAGGTGTTCAGTTCCCAGCCCACCTCTTGCAGGAGGCTCGGGGGACCCCCCGCAGGGGCGCCTCAGTCTCCGAGCTCCCCCCTTCTCCCAGCACACGTCCCCACCATCTCTGGAAGTCCCTGCCACCCCTGCCTGCTGTCAGGGCCCAGCTCCTGGGCCCCAGGGCTCAGAGCAGGTCAGCAGGGGGCGGGGAGGGGGCCCCTGGGACGCCCTGCCGAGCTGGGCTGAGCCCGGTCCCTCCCCCCAAGGAAAAACAAGCAGATTTGAGAGAGGTGGTGGCTGTTGTGAAAGCCGCTCGGTCACGCCCGACTCTATGTGACCCATGGACTGTAGCCCGCCAGGCTCCTCTGTCCATGGAATCCTCCAGGCAAGAATAATGGAGTGGGCAGCCATTCCCTTCTCCAGGGGATCTTCCCAACCCAGGGATCAAACGTGGCCTCCTGCACTGCAGGCAGATTCTTCACCAGCTGAGCCACCAGAGAAGCCCTGTTGTAGATTGTGGCTAATTTCTGCCTTTTAAATTCATTCTCAGAAAATAAAAAGCACAGTTGACTTGCTCATTATAGCAGAGATGTTAAAGAACATGGAGAAGTGGAGAAATTCCAAGGTCCGCTGGCCAACACTAACTGTTGTACAAGGTCCTTAATTTTAGCTCCGAGCTTCCTGGCAGGCTGAGCAAAAAGGGCAACACCGTGAATCATGTGCTGTCGGAGGCTGTCTTCTCGGATGTGCGCTGACAGCCCCAGTGCAAACATTCCGGCCTTGTGCCCCTTGGTTCACTCTGACCGCTAGACCTCAAATCCTGACTTCAGGTTTGGAAAATGTGGTTGCTCCCAGATGGGCCATAAAGGAGCAGTGCTGTCTGGAGACACAGGAGTGACGGGGTGGGGGGTGAGCAAAGCTCAGGCTTCCCCTGGGTGCCCCCCCAGCTAGGGGGAGGGGAGGGGCTGGGGAGGTCCAGCCCTCAACCCCGCACTGGAGCCTGCCTCACAGTGCACAAGGACAGGAGGTGCTGGTCGGGGGAGAGTCTGGCTGGGGAGGGCCAGCCCTGGTGTGGGGGTGGCCCCCAGGGGAGTGGGCTGGGGAAGGAGGATGGTGGAGAAGGACCCACTGCTGGCCAAGGAGGGGTTAAGGCCTCCGCAGCTCCCGGGG